TGCATGTGTGAGAAAACCTCCTGCAACCGCTTCACATCATGATAATCTGAGCTTGATCCACCAACCTCACCTCCATATCACTGGGTTATAGGCATGTGTCACGACCACCACCACCTCTGTACTTCATTTCAGATTTGTATCAAGGTTATAAAAAACAATGAATGTCTCACATCCATTCAATCGCAAGTTACTGTTTGCACCGGGTTCCAGCAGAGACGTTTGGGATTATGGCCTTGTTGCGCGTGTTGTCACTGCAGGCAAGTGTATTTGCTGCGACCTCCCATCACTCCAGCTCACCTCATCTATAATTGCCAAAACAGTTACTATATGGAGTAGTGGACCTGGACTATTATACGGAAGGAAAACAATCAAAGCCTGCAAGCTTCCCCCACCGACTCGCACAATAGCTTGACTAAACAGCATAAAGTGTGCGTAATCAGCTCGCACTTATTACCACAGTATTAGTCTTACTTATATTTTTCTTTCTTTGTTGGGCACAAAAAAAACACAGCGGGATTAAATATACCCACACGTGCTTTTGTAGTGAAAAGCGATTCATTGTTTCGTGGCTTTTTAAAGAAAATTATATATAACAATGACGAAAAATTGCCAACCGCAAAGAGTTTGTCTTGCCAAATTATACGCAATGCTATGAACAGGACATCTAAATCAGCAAAAAAGTAAAACAAGTGACAACATTTGTAAAGAACGTGTGAATAAGAACCAAAATATCTGCATTTTCAATATCACGTGCTTACGTTGGACTCGTGGAGCACACTATATCATGAAAAGATGTTAAAAGTGTTAATAATTAGTTTGTTTTGGGTTATATCACATAGTTATAGTGCCAATGTTCAGCTGTACCCTCAGCCACCCGACACAGGCAATGGAATTAAGTTGTTGTGGACAAATATGCCTTGCTTTGATTTTTACGCAAACCAGAATGTTGAAAAGTAAGCATTTTTTAATGATTGTATTATTATTAAAATGATACCCATACGATATAACCGAAAATTTACTAATAGGAATCGTAAGATTGGTCGTGAAAGCCAACGTATAAAATGAATATGTTAATAATAGAACACATCAAAAAATAGATATATTAGCCACATTGTGCTAGATTTGGCTATACAATATATTCACATTTTTAAACTTGGGTTATGCACCTCTTCAGCAGCCTGTACACATCAGGTCACACCTATTTACGTTTATTTTGAGAGAAAGCAAAACAACTGCATCAAGTTTTGATTTAAAGCTTTCGTGACTGCAGGGATTCATATTCTTGGTTCTTTCGGTAAAGTCTCGTTTTACATTTTAAAGTTTTATATATTTTTTTACCGAAAGAACCAAGAATATAACTGAATCAAGGTGAAGGGCTACTTAGCCACTTAAAGGGCCATGTGGATAAGATGAGTGTATTGACACGCTCATATTAGAATCCATCTCAATGTTATATTCCAGTATTAGCAGTGTCAGACATTTTTTTATGAAAAGGCTTTCAGCATGCATAGCGAATTCAGGAACTCCATGTGACTCTAAAACAAGGCCAATTTCTAAATTGATGTACGACAGTGAAATTAATTCCTAATTTGAATTCACCAATCTCCATAAGACACTGAGTGAATGAAATTTTTCAGGACAGTAGTGCTTGTTTGTACTAATCTACCAGCCCATGACAGGACGTGCGGAAGAGCTAAAATATAAGTGTAAATCTGTTTGAATGTTTATTGTGTGTGTAGAGACGCAGAGGATGTGCATGATGAGTCAGGTTGTCAGATAATCAGGCGTGCGGCTTGGGCTGACCTACTTATTTAATATATATTTTCAGTATATTTACCTGTGTAGACTATGTGATTGGGTTCATAAGAAAGGTGTTATGAATTAGATCGTGTGTCGATATGGGTGCGTGTCGTGGATCAACCACCACCCGATACAACCTATTAGTGGGTTGCCACGATATCACCATACCGTGATCAATTGTACGATATATATCCACAATGATCATTACATTTTCTGTAAGTATTATCATTTTTCCTAGCAATATATATGAAACAAAAACAATTAAAGATTGCAATACAAATTTCAATTATAAAAAAAAATTGCTGTTACCCGTTACAGTACATTTGTGCTTTGTAAAACGTTTTATGCGCGTCAATTGGATGGCATAGTGGTTGTGTAGCATAATTTTCTGACGCGTACATTCCAAGTATTATGGATTGTATACAAAATTATGTTTACGAATGCAATTTCCATTAAACTAATGGGTCCCATGCTGTTTGTGAATGTCTGTGGCCTGTGACATCAAGAAAGCGGAAAGTCGCAAATGGGCCAGTCTGCCTGTTTAAACACATGCTGCTAAAAAATATTGGTGCAAATGCGTAAAAAAAACTTTTCGTGGAGAAATAGGCGGTGATTATGATGGCCAGTAAATAATTGTGGATTATTACATCACAGGGTTGCTTGGAGAAGCCATCATCCATTAGTGCTTTGATGATGACCATAGTTATTAGCATATATTTGACTATTCTATGCTTTTAAGACCACCTTTAGAATTCATATCAGTGTGACACTTTTTTTCCAAGTAAAGCACACTCTGATTTAAAGCTTTCGTGACTGCAGTGATTCATATTCTTGGTTCTTTCGGTAAAGTCACGTTGAAGGGAAACAATAAAATAATAAAATATATCTTCTTTGGTTCTTTCGGTAAAGTCACGTAGAATGAGAATAAAATAATAAATTGATCAAATAAAATAACACAATAATATTCTCACGACGTTTCGGCCACAACACAAGCGGCCTTCATCAGGTGAAGGGACGAGACTGTCTGGAGGACAGCGCTGGAGTGAAAAAGCCACGCTCAGATCGTGACCTTTATGATGGCCAGTGAGCGTGGCTTTTTCACTCCAGCGCTGTCCTCCAAACAGTCTCGTCCCTTCACCTGATGAAGGCCGCTTGTGTTGTGGCCGAAACGTCGTGAGAATATTATTGTGTTATTTTATTTTATCAATTTATTATTGTATTCTCATTCTACGTGACTTTACCGAAAGAACCAAAGAAGATGAATCCTTGCAGTCACGAAAGCTTTAAATCGAAATAAAATATATATTATTGTTTCCCCTTTTATTGTTTCCCCTTCAAATCAGAGTGTGCCTTACTTGGAATTTGTGGATAGGCCTTCATCCAGCAGAGGATTGGAAAGGGCTGTATAGTCGACCTTCAATGTTACTTTTTACCACTGATCTTAATAATAATTATAATTTAATTTTATATTGCATAATTCATACTAATAGTATCCCATAACGATTTTCTCTAATTATACATAATTACCAAATCCCATATACAGCCACTACCAAGGAAATGAAAACCCTACTTCCAAGGGAAATCGAAAATAAATATAGAAATATATTATTATTTTATTGTTTCCCTTCAACGTGACTTTACCGATGGTGCCATTTCTTAATTTGCTTATTTATTTTCGATTTTCCTTGGAAGTAGGGTTTTCATTTTCTTGGTAGTGGCTGTATATGGGATTTGGTAATTATGTATAATTAAAGAAAAGCGTTATGGGATACTATTAGTATGAATTATGCAATATAAAATTTAAGTAGCATTATTATTAAGATCAGTGGTAAAAAGTAACATTGAAGGTCGACTCTACAGCCCTTTCCAATCCTCTGCTGGATGAAGGCCTATCCACAAATGCCAGCCATGGGTGGTTGTAGACTATAAACGTTGACTATACTTCACCACGCTGGCCAGCGCAAGTTGGTGAAGGACGGGGGGGGGGGGTCAGGACTGGTCCATATATAGCTCATTACTCTCAGCCAGTGTAAGAAAGTAAATTCAGGAAGCAAGGATTCGTTGTAAAGTACGCTCATCACTGTGCAACTGATCCACCCAAAACACGTCATGTACAATAAACTAATATGTAATAAAGGCAAATTAATATAAAGCAGTAAGCAAGCAAGAAAAGTAATTGCGAATAAGGTCGGTGGGTGTGGAGTGTTGTCACAGTGGCTAATGCCCTCGTTAAACCCAACTACAAGAGTTATATTTCCAGCAACAGCTCACATTGGGGGTGGTTCATATCTGAACCAGCCATTCACGGGCCCGCTACACTGCCGCATACTCACCAGCGTGGTAAGGTCTGGTATGGGGAGGTGTTCATCCAGCAGTGGATTGACAATTCCGCTGCAAACTTCGCGATTATTAACGTTATTATTTTCGGTCGTACATTTTTTTTTATAGAACTTACTAGAATGGGCATTTAAACGTGCTGCAAGAGTGCAATTAGTTATCAATACAGCACGTGTCAATGCGATCCTGTACAACACTTACTCCACGACGACGAAATACTGCCGAGGTAACATGTTCATCTTAAGTCAAGTAATCTGCTTAATTTCAGTTGCCTTGTACATTTTCATTTCGACACGTGTTCAGTTACCATATGTACACATACAGTGAAATGCATACAACGCTGCGTTATAATAATACATTGTCAGCAACCAAGAGATGGCAGTGCGCCTGGAATTGTTTTAATCCCATGAAAATGTTGCGTTTTTAACAAAGTCGATATTTTTGTCCGCATCGCAAACACAACTACCTGTTGACTGTAATTCTATGACATTTAAAAACAATCAAAACACGGTAGTTCAGATCGTAGAGCCCTCTAATCCAGCACATTAATAGTGCGTGATATGTGGCTTTGCATGTTTTCGCACGTTTCATTCGACGAACAGACAGATGGACCAGGGATGCACGGCAGAGTTGGACACATGGATGAACAGACGGACGGGAACGATGGACGAACGAACGCACAGATTGATAGACAGACGGACAATCAAGGGATGGACAGGAGGAACATGGGATGCATGGGGGGGGGGGGGGGGGGAATCTAACAAACAGATAGATTGGTTGGACGGAAGCGATCGATGGAGAGTAGATGGACGCGGAGCAAACGGATGGACAGATTGTACAAACGTGGGAGGTATTGTACTCACAAGAAGGTGCTGTCCCTGGGCAGAGGTGATGGTATGTCAAGGTTTCTCATCCCAACGCACTCCACCCTCTGCTCTAAGCATCGGCAATTGGCCGGACACAGCCAAGAGTGACATGCCACGAAATGCAGTAGCAGCAGCAGCGGCGGCGTCAGCGCCGATCCTCCAACCCGCATCTCTCGTCAACGCCGCCTATCCGCGTATGCCGACCAGCTGTTGTTATTCCTACTTACAACTTCTGCTCGTCGCGTGTGTCGGAGGATGTCACCCGCTACTACTACACCTTAGTTCAAACTTCAAGTCCTTTCCCGAGTCGCGTCGGTGAGCACAGCAGCCCAGGGTGGCAGGCGGGCTGGGTCTGTGATATTTAGGGTTGTTGTTAACGCGATTGAACACTTACAGCCTACTAACACATCAGCAGTTGTGACCCCAGTTGCGAGTGACGCTGAGCTTGCTCGCGCGTGTCTGTGTGTATGCTCAACTCAGAACTTTGCGCTCTGTGCTATTTATGTAGCCTTGCTACGATCTCATTCTACAGTCTGCAAGATTTACGTAACCCACACGTATGCGCATGTATGTGTGTGTGTGTAATTACAAAAGCACACGTCTGTATCTGTGTGACTAGATACACCGACGGTAATCCCTGCTCCGAATACGTGTGTGTGTAAATAGTATTGTTATACAGCCGTGTTAAGAGATTTAAAGAGTTTGAAACGCGGGGAGGACTCGAATTTAGCCCACGAGTTAAAATCCGTTCGGCGAACGCGCGCTTCTCCGTCACACGCAGTCTCGATCGGGCTAATTACCGTGGGTAGTTTTAAGACGGAGGAGGTACGATCGGGGGTGGTTTGTGGATGGTAGGAGGGGTGGGGTGGGTGGGTGGGGGAGTAAGAAAGCATGGGATATTTAATACGGAGCTGCCATAAACCCAACCCACAGTGCGGTTGGTTGGGTTATACGCGGTCCTTTTGATTTGCTGCAGGGATTTTTCTTATATAGCAGAGGGCCAAGTCTCCCTCCCATCCCAGGCACTCCTCCCCTTCTTGCTATTCCCACCCTGCGTCAGAGTGCGTTCTTCGTTGATTGAGGCTGCAGGGCTGTTGACATAACAGCAGCGACCCCTCTCCGATGCTCGTTGCTGAGTTAAAGTTCCCAAGAAGTGTCGTCCGATGCATTTCTCATAACGCCATTCCCAGGGGGTTAATGCCCGAATTAAATCGTTCACGGGTCTCTCGCTGGAGTGGGTCGTACGCGAGTCGCGGTCACAACCACAACGGGAGGTACAATAAACTAGACGATTTTTATTTTAACAGGTGAGGCCCACTGAGCTATATAGCTCATTTTCAGAAGCAATCTGACCGCAAATGATAGCTCAACGTAGCGGCTCATTACGTGGAAATGTATAGCAGCCAAATACTCTAAAAGGAAGGTTTCTAAATATGGGGGGGGGGGGCGGAGAAAAATCCACGCGACCACGGAGAATGCAAACTCCAAATATGCACAGGTGTCAGGGTCTGGATTGAACCCACGACCTCCTGCATACCGGGCGAGGTAGTTAACATCTCGCACGGACATATTGTCTTGAGTCGCCGACACTCCTGGCTGAAATTCAACCTTGGTTGTTCCTCTTGAACCACCACGCACGGGAACACATCTGTCCGCTGTTTACCAGTCTCTTACAATCCAATGCAAATTGAGTGTACACACTGCACGTGCCTGATGATTGATAAACAATTGCCCCTACGTGACACCGATATTTCATGCAAATGTTGTAACATCGTGTACGTGTGCAAATGTGAGTCCTATGTGACGTTGAGTAGTTAAACTCTTTCTACGTCTTATGGTGTAGATAACTCCCATATAGATGACCATATTAAATTCAAGACGCACTACTGCATTTTATAATTCTGTATGGGTGACCATATTTGAATAACTGTCTTGGGACTGGGCCACACATTTTAGGTGCGCCTTGTTTTCTGGAGCGTCTTATAATCTGGAGAATATGGTAACAGAGACCTTGTACAATCGATGCACTGTGTACTTCGTGTAGTGACATTGAAAGAGTCACTGTAGCGCGTGCTGCTGGGAGATTGGTAGACAATGGACTTAGGGGTAGCAGCCCGTTCTACCAGTTGGACCTGTGGGCCAAGCCCGGAGCCTTCTGGGGGATCCAGAAGGGGGCGTGGCCGAGGGCGGAGCCTGGTCACCCTGGGGAGAATAAAAGGCGAGCTCCGACTCGCAGTCGGGGCTGCTGCCATCGGGAATGGAACTCGTCGTGCTGCTGTCGTCGTGGTCTTCGCCTCTTGAAGCTGTGGGTCTGGAAGCATGTTGGCTGTCCCGACTCGGTATGGAGTTATCCTCTATGGCTGTGAGAGCCGGAATAAACAAGAGGGATAACGCCTCCTACTAGTGTCTCTGAATTAGTACACTACACACGTACTCGCGTCCCACAAAACATGGAGAGCAATTGCTGTACAGTTTTAATTTGAATCAACGTCACGTGGGACGTTGTTCAGAAATCGTTAGGGGCGTGAAGAGTAACGAAGTTGATTAGTATGTTAACGCAAGTTGGTAAAATGCATAGCGTTGTGATGAGTCGCTGGCACTGAAGTTTGGGAAAGCTTACTCTGAAACGTGCGTGCTGGCCTCATTCTAAGCTGCACACAGAACCCCCCCCCCCCCCCCCACATTCGCGAGGTGATGAGCACTCACCTGATCAAATAAAAACCATGCCGACTCGTGTTCGCTCGTGTGTATAACATTCATGCCACTGCTAATCGTACAAGCCTTGGGCTATCTGATACTTTAGTCGTCAAACAAACCCACCAAGCCAGCTGTGAGCAATACGTGCATGACAAACTATTTTTTGTGGATATCAGGACAAATCGGAACACGAACAGAAGATTCCAACAAATCTAGATACGACTGAATGGCAAATGAATATCCCCGACGAACAAGCCACACAATATATAATAATGCATACCAATAGATGGCGCTGTAGCACGCAGGAATGAGTTCGTGGAATATCGATGAAGTTTTAACACGTAGGCTATCGCCTACGTGTTAAAACTTCATGACCAATATCATCCATAAGTTTTTTTAATAATGCTTAAATCCATGCTCGATTCCATTCTCAATCCCATGCTTGCTCAAACACGTGCTCTACCCCATGCTTGAACCCATTCTAAAACCCATTTTCGTTCAAACCCGCGCTTGCATCGAAACTCATTCTCAAACCCATGCTCGTGTGTCCGTGTTTACGTTCGATACAAAATCCCGATTTTCACGTAGGATTTGAGATACTGGAACAGCCTTTAAGACAGGCCAAACAGGAACGTTTACTCGGCTCACCAAGTGTGGTGCAATTGTTGCTTATATTCTACAGGCAATAAAAAATACATAGTTTTACAGCACTTCTGCAGTACCTAGGTTGGCTAAACCCCAGCTTTTTTCTGCAATACCTTCAATGGCAAACTTTCCACATGTGCGTTCTCTCAAAGCAGATATATACTCGTGCAAGCTATGTTTAAAAAAAAAACTCCTTTCACATATCCCACCATCGAAACGTGCAACTTCACTGAAGTTCTAACTTTTTCATCACATATACGGTAAAGCCTCGACACCCACATGGGTTAGAATCTTGGAAATTCGCGCGAATGTAGATACCGCACTATACTCTGCTTATATTTGGGGATAAAGGGGTTTAGGTTCGTGTCCGACTGAACATAAAGAAATGTTTAACGTTTCATAACATTAATTCTGTATGTTGAACTTCTTTCGCACCGTACGTAGTCAACCGTGCTAATCGGTGTTGCGGGGGAGGAACAAAGAAAAACAGTTCTAAAGAAATGAGTTTTAAATCTAGATTTAAAAACGCATAGCTCCAGTGGATTCCTAATATCGGAAGAGCGTTCCAGACGGCCGCAGAAGTGCATCTGAAAGCGCGCGATGCGGTGACCGTCTTTGTTCGGTGGGCAGCTTGAAGCCGCTTCGAAGATGACCGGAGTTGGCGTGATGGTTTATGCTCCTTTGACGAGATCAGCAAGGTTCATTTGTGGCATTTTGAGTATAATCCTGGACTGCAGACATAAACAACATCCATTTACTTATTTTACAGTAATACCAATAAATAAGAACACAAAATACATCAATAATGATGAGGGTATGATGGTCTTCGGTGCACTTGGCGCCTCGTTTTTATTTACATCGAAAATTCAATTATTATTTTCTATGTACTTGCGGGACTGTGTTGCATTGGTGTGGTCTGGGACTTTTTGTTTTCCTGCCTTGCCCAAGCTTGCATTTGGTGTTGACAAATCGACAGGAATTCACGTACTTGTAAAATTTGTACTTCGATACCTTATATTTATCGCGACCTGCTTACCATTTCTTTTACCTTCATATCGTTTTTCTTGGTTTGTTGATGCAACTCGCTGACCCGCCCCTAACTGGACATCTTTTAAAAAGTTTGATAGCTCATCGGATTCCTCCAGGATAAATATTCTGATTCTAAAACCTGACTGTTGACTCGTTTACCATGTAACAGCAGACAACAGATGACCCACGATCACCACGAGCTAAGTCTATCCAACAACTCAACTTGTCGAGCTAAAACCAGTGTTCTTCACTAATTTTCAGAGGGGGGCCACTTTCGCCGATAAGGCATCGGTGAGGGCTGCCACACATTTGAACTCATTGGAGGTTTGACAGCACGATGGGGGTGTTTTCGCATGTGTATTTTTTATTTAGTTGCATAAGTGCCTACCAGAAACTCTTGATTAATGAATGGGGGGCCGCAGAATTTGTAATTGAATGCACTCATCCACGATAGTTGAGCTTAATGCCAACTTAAGATTGCTTGTTTTTGTTCTGATTTGCGTTGTGAATGTATGTTGGATCTCACCCAAGTGCAAGGAAATGTGTCAGAGTACAGTAAATTGTGAATTCTGTTTATGTACTAGCGTTTCTTTGCGTTAAAGTTCAGAATTAAGTACAGAGAATAAAATGTTATGGCAAGACATTATATCGATAGTTTCATACACCTTTCAACACATCTGGCCAGTATGAAAGAGTAGGCTAAATAACCCCTGGAAGGGATCTTGAGCTCCAATTGAAGGTTTTTCTGCCACCAGTGGTGTGAGCAAGAAATTGCAGGTCTGCACCTGTAACTATACTTGAATACAAGGGAGCAATGGAGAATATTTACAGCAATGCACTATCAAACCAACCACTTAACGCTTAATTCCTTGTCACTAATATAAGTGGTTGAGTGATAAGACCTCTGCTTAGAACGGTTGGCTACGTATGGTGCGAAATAAGTTCAACATACATAGCAGAACCAGTCCTAGGCTCACTCATCACAAACCCATACTGCCTGGTGAAGTAGGATCAACTTCCATTACCGACACGGTGTATAGGCCTTCAAGCAGATTGATAAAGGACTGAATTCACTTTTTGCACAGAAATACAAATGGTACCTTGTTCAATGCAATCTGTTGCATTGCCTTTTCACCGTACACTTAAGAGAAGAAAGTGTGTAATTGCCATGTATGATTATCCATTGCCTATTTTTGCAGGGCATTTGTGAACAGTATATATACTTTCACTTCATTGGTCCTATTGTGGCAATGCCAATTGCAGTGAAAGTATAGACATGGTAAAATTATGCATACAGGAAGTATGTCTGGTGATTGGTATGATAAACGGGTCATCTCTGTGAATTAACAGCTGGTGTGCAAACATTCAAGGTCATTGCTGTTATTTTCCAAGTTAATTTTATTGTTGGACACAAGTTGAGGGCATATCGTGTCCAGACATCCATCTCATTTTAGAGATGTACCACAGCCAGTCTGACTTTTAAATTTATTATTAGACCTGGTTAATTTGTATTTTCAAGCAAATATTTGTGGTATTTCTATAAATCTTACAGTTTATGAAATATCCCTAACCATCCTTGTTTAATGTAGATATGTTTACAATACCCAATCTATCAACTGAAGTACTGTAATGAGGACTATTGTGATGGAAATAGCAGATCTAAATACGAGAAGTAACATTTCGATTTCACATTTTATTGTGACAAAGGTTATACAATAGGTACAATGACAGTCTCAGTGATCAATGTTCCTATTGCATCCAGCACAAAGTCTAAACCAGGGCATGGTCCATTGAAGGGAGATGTGCAGCAATGTGGTCGGTCTTCATGGGGGTACATTTACATTAGTGACCCGTGCTACCTGTAAACGAGAAAAAGTGCTTTAACTCCCAGGGCAGTTCATATTTATTACAAAGCACGATAAATCTTTTGGCCAATAAAACACATTTTATTTGATAGAAGTATGAAGACACCATGAGTGTTTTTGTCAGTAAACTAACAAAACAGTTCCATTTATGTGTATGGAAAAAAAGTACTCACTGCTCTTCACCGCTTTGTTGCCTGAAAATAAAACAAAATACAGTATATTACACGACGAGATTACAGAGTAGCATGAAATATGAAAAAAATAAGAAACCACTTATCTTTTCCATAATTAAACACGTCTACATTCTCCTGTACAATGTAAAGATAAAATAGCAGTTGTAATCTGAAGGCACACGAGGGGACTCACCTCCGAATGAGAGTTTGTAGTAGAGGAAGAACATAACGCCTACGCCCACCCACACCTGGGGATGGGCGTTAAGGTAATAGGGCCGCATCTTGCTCCAGTATAGTGCGAAGCCTGACATCTACATGCACAGAAATATAAATTCAGTCTCCAGACACATAGCATGGACACCCTTGAAACATGGCAATCGAATGCTAATAAAACGTGTTTCTACATTAAAATGAAACAAAAAAAAGCTGTAATTGAGAGTAGGTTTTCCCCTTGTCTTTGAAGACAATGCATATATTACCAGAGTATGTTTTTGGTTTGCATTCTGACCACAAGTATTGTGGTTAATGCAGACATGATTCCTTGTAAAAGCTTTCAGTTTGGTGTTTAAAAATCGTAACACCTGTTTTGTTGCCTGAAAATAGGGGAACACTTATTCTCATATTTTGGTACTGGCAAAGGAGGTCCCATGAAATTGCTATAATTGTAAACAGGCTGAACACTCGGGATTCACAATTGCCAAACATATTGTAATCCAAAGGTCAAGTGGTAAAGCATCCTGGGACGGTACGCATCGATAGTGTTTGAATTTGGGACTGAAGCAGTAATATTTGCATAGGACCACCACTGTTGATGTTGCAGAAAGCAGCACTGGTTTTATTCATCCTGTGTGTTGATAACGGTTGGAATAGAACCCCAAACGAGATGAGCACTCACAACCTTAAGATTGTGAGCTTATGTCGCTGAAATGAGACAGGACAGTATATGCATCCAAAATCGTTAGCTATTTGTACTTAATGATATCTGATACAGCACCACCTGCAAAGATATTCAGGACTCTTTCAAAGTGATAATTAAAAGCATTCCTGCTCAAATAATAGGGCGGCAATCATCTCTTTTGGCTGACCTTGCCAACAGGAATTTCCACAATCCTATGCTGGGCATCAGCTTTTCCAAACGAAATATATATTTTTAAACAATCTGAGTGGTATCCCTTTTCAAAACCAATGGGAGGTTACTACTACTCGTCTCCTTACTCTTTGGTTCTATTCGGTAAAGTCACGGTAAAAAATAAAACAACAAAAATCTGAACAAGCTGCTTTAAAATGGGGGATAGATGTCTTTTGGAAAACTATTCTGGTAGTGGTCTTCTATCCTCTGGGTGGTAATGTAATTGCTAAGGTGAACCGTCTTCCAGAAGAGGATTCTGAACTACATTGCAACACGGCTTCTGGAAGGCAATGCATATAACTCGATTATGACGCATCCCAAACTGTATTTTAAATACAGGTAAAACAATGTCTTGTAATCCGGAGACTGCAGTAACTTAAATTCAATTATAGAATTGTCTCCACACCCAGAGATGTATAGGAATCGCGCTCATCGTCAAAATCGGGGCCCAATTAACATTTCAAGGCAAATCAAGTTAAACTGTGCGCATTCTAAAACAAGCCTCAACTATAATAGAGGTATGTCGAGTTAGATCGCGTAAATATAAATGCGTAGTTAAACCCGCCACCACCCGACAGCCAATTAGTAAGGTTTGTCACGTAAACAAAACATTCAAATTCGTTACTCGTACAGCACACCGATGTGTTGGAGAGTAAATCCACAACATGTACAATCTGAGTACGCCGTTTCGCCAGTAATTACAACTAGCATCAGCAGGCGACAGCCAGATTTGTGGAGAAATCATCCTGTTTCATCTATACGTTTAGTTCAGAGACAGTGATGGAATAGCACATAGCGTTTAACTAAAGCCAAATTAACAGCAAGTCCAATCAACGAATTTACATTAAAGAGGCATAGCGTCGGCGCATATCTGCAATGGGTCAGTGGTGGAAATTCCACATTCTCACGATGGTGACCAGTCCATCCATAACCCATACAAGCACTATCGTTGACAATCAGCATCCATATTTACTCCACTGCTGGATGAATGCCCTCCAAGTGGTCGCCATTGCCACACGACTGCGCAATGCAATACAAAAATACAACGACACTAACACGTCACAACCGATGAATACAAACTATGAAAGATAACGTCGTGGTATTATTCCCTTGATACATATACCGCCGGGTGAGGCTAAGAGACTTTAGGCCTCATCCAAGGCCTCGTCCAAGGGCACCTCTCGGTAAAAAAAATAAAGTGAAAAAGACGAGGAACGGAAACAACTGAACGACGCACGACGCCGTCTAATCGTACGGATAATAAAACCGCTGCTTATTCGCCGTAAAACCGTAAGGTAAAAGCGATCTGTGTGTGAAGGAAGCCCACCGCCGCTGAGGTTGACCGAGGGCGCAGGAGATTTGGACGCTCACAGCGCGTTGACGATTGTGGTGGTGGGGGTGGTAGAGGGCGACTCCGCGTCGCGCGTGGAGGACGTCACGCAGCGATTGGGGGCGGCCATGTTGGGTAGGGGCAGGGCCCCTTGCCCGCGTTACTCGTGGGGCGGGGCACTTCGGTCAGAGGCCGCGCGTCGCCACTTGATGACGAGACGACGACAAACGCCCGTGGACTCCAATGAGCACTCTCCCTTAGTAAGATGGCGAGCGAATGAGTGCTGCGGATTGAATGTTAATTGAATTACAATAATTATAATTGTCCACTTAATATGAAACAATATGCTGTCAGTCTGGTAACAAAGCTACTCAAATGTCCGTGGACTCGAATGAGCACGTTCCCCCCTTAGATGGCGAGCGAATGAGTGCTGCGGTCGTGCATTGCATTACAATACATTGTATACTACCTATAATCACGTAAACAATTGAATAAATACCGCAAGTCATAGTCTGATAACATACTCTTAAAACCAATAAAATCCAGATTTTAATGATATCTCACGTGTTTGGAAGTTGATGCTTAATAGTGCGTGAATGTGTTGAACTTCCTTTGCACCGTACGTCGCTAACCGTGCTAATATTTGGAGGTGTGAGATCGTAGACACTTCCAAGGTGTAAAGCTTGTCAGAGCCATCAGCCATGTGAAGATGTCACGAGATAGAATTAAGTAAAAACGTGACAATTTAATCTTACATATTACTCAACACGTCTACAAATTATTTTATTAGTCTGAATGTCGTTAAGTTAAAATTGTACTGTTATGTCCTCGAATCCATGTTCCGTAATGTAATTCCAAGCGTGCGTCTCTCCGTGCGCGCACGTTTCAGTTGATTTACGTGAACGAACGTGGGCATCATTCAACCTGTTAAGGAAGGCTACAAGATGTTTTTCTTGTTAAGATGTTTTTCTTGCTCGTGTTTTTGTTTGTTGTGGTTGCACCCGATTCAAGAGCCGAATGGCTCACAGGGCTATACCAAAATAAACTGAACTGAACTTCACACATCCAATACTAAATTCCTGAAAGGGAAAAAAATAAGCGACGTTTCAGCCAAATGCCGTTTTTCATAGCACAGCCAGAAGGACTCGTCGCCTAAAATTTAAAAGGGACGCGCCATGGTCAAGAATTACAACGGAGTGACAGCCAACGCGCTTTCAGATGCGCTTCTGTGGCCATCTGGAACGTTCTTCTGAAATAAAAAGGAAGTCACCGGAGCTATGAACATTTTAAATAATCCGAATTGAAAACGAATTTCTTCAGAACTGCTTTTTGTGTTTACTTTGCTGTCCTTCACCGCACCTACGATTAGTATGGTTGGCTACCTACGGTGCGAAATACGTTAAACATACGTACGTACCAATAACCCGCCATTCGCCACTAAGTGACGGCGACGTCACCACGACGCCCCTGCCAGGACAGGTGCACTTTGAGGCCACGTGAAATTGTCGAAGGTTCGCTGACAGGTCACGGAACAGACACATACCTGTCAACCCATACCATTTACCCATATTCTTGTACAGGAAAAAAAAATCACTATTCAGGTCTATTTGTGTTTCTCCCTTGTGATGGAACGTTGAGATTTATAAGGGCACGGGGTGACCAATAAGGTCTTAATTAGTCTGTAATACGGTAGGCATTGAAAAGGGGTTGACAGGTTTGCAGACCCAGGTGACATGGATTGACTGAGATGATTGACTCTCAGTCAACATAAACAGAGCTTCATCCAGCAGCGGATTGACCACGGCTCACACCGATGAATGATTTCACTATGTAACACAATTTTTGTTCCTGGGTACTAAGTGTTATTTTTTAATTGCCTATGCCTAAAAAGTATAGCAAATTGCTATTATTCCCCACAAACTTTGCTTTTGTGACCAGGACTTTATGTGAACGAAAGACACAAATGCACACGTTTTCTCATTGAAAATACTGTAGGTTAATTTCAAAATATCACTGTCCTGGTCACAAAAGCAAAGTTTGTAGGGAATAATAGCCATTTTCTATACTTTTTGAGGCATAAACAATTAGGAAATAACACTTACTACCCAGGAACAAAACACATTTTTGTTACAGTGTTATTAATGGTGTGGATCATTAACTTTGCTTTGTGTCCAGGAACAAAAAAATTGTTAGTGTTTTGTGGCCCCCGGTGAGCAACCCACGTGCTGCGCAAACGCTCCTCCTCCACGTCGAGCTACTGGGCGGAGCCTGATACTTCCGCGTTCGCATTTCCCACAACGCATTGGCGACGCCCGCGCGCATGACGCTCGGCAATTGGACGCGGGGTGCCGCACGTGACCTCGCCGGGGTTCCCACCCCCCCCCCCACCACCACTTGGAACGGCGCGCATCAGCACTGGGAAATCTGAGAGCCGTGGTCCAGCCTGGGACGAGGATCTCGTCCTCTTAGCCACCTGTTTGTTACACGAGGTAAAGGCGCAGCCCTGCAATCGCTTTCTCACCACCACCAACTGCCGGCGGCGGAAGGGGGGCCTCCGATTAAAGGCAGCTCTCGCTAATGGCTGTACGAGTTCGGAGGGTAATTGAGATACATCAGTTGTAGGTGGTTGCGAAGTGCTGTATAACCCACACGTTACCCCACCACCCATTGACGTGTCACTATGGTGAACGCGTGTCCTTGTTGTTGTATATACTGCTGGGTGGGCAGAGACGGGGTCGGGGAATTTTAAGAGCTGACCGGCGACCTGCATTTGTAAAAAAATCCCGCGTTTAACGTGACAGCACCGTCAGAGTAGCATCGCGATATTTCATAGACGTTTATATTTTTGTTCATCACGCAAAGGTTGCGGGTTGTTCGCGAGCTGCCGCTACTGCTGCTGCTGTTGTTTTGGTGTGCTAAAGATGTGCTGTTCGAACGAATACGGTGGGTGTATTATTATACAGCAGCGCCGTGTAATGTCACGGTGGCATTGTGACGTGGCCATCCATGGCTTAACCGTACGCCCCGGATTATAAGACGCACGATTTTCTCCCCCTCGCTTTTAAAACCAGAGTTGTCGGTGCGTCTTATATTGTGAGACCAGATTTACGTAACTTTTATTTATTGTCATTGGGCACGCACACGCACTCTCGGGTCAACGGTATTGTGTGTTAGATCACAGCTGTCACACTTTGTAAACCGGTCAACAATCTTGAGTCACGTTTCTCGGCGCTGTCGCGTTGGCAGTGCCAATTTCTCACGCATTGTAGAGGCTTGGGAATTCTCACCAACTGAGCTGGATTGTGAATTACAATAAATATTACGCTCAATTATCACCCAGACCCATGGTGTAAGACCAGTGGTTCGTAACCTGGGGTTCACGGACCCATTGGGGGTGCGTGACATACCGGATTTTTTTTAAGTAAATCATGGAAACAAATTAAAATACGCGCACCTGAGTACAACTACTTTTTTCATGAAACATGTATTTATTAACATACATTTTGATTTAAAGCTTTCGTGACTGCAGTAATTCATATTCTTAGTTTTTTCGGTAAAGTCACGTTGAAGAGAAACAACAAAATAATAAAATATATATTTTGTTGTTTCTCTTCAACGTGACTTTACCGAAAAAACTAAGAATATCATACATTTTGTTTACGATTGATAACTAAAAGGGGTGCAAGGCTTAAGTGAGGGTTAAGAACCACCGGGGTAGTCAAAATGCTGTCTCCAACTTTAATGATCCATTCTTGATTTGAAGCTTTCGTGACTTGCAGGAATCCATACTCTTTGGTTCTTTCGGTAAAGTCACGTAGGTTGAAAAATATAATAAATCACGACGTTTCGGGCGCAACACAAGCGTCCATCACACAAGCGTCCACCTGATGATGGACGCTTGTGTTGCGCCCGAAACGTCGTGATTTAATTATCCACTTCATCTCTCGGGCCTCTATCTGCTATGAAGAAGGGTCATTGCTTGAAAAGTCGCATATTTGATATTTTACTTTGAAGACCACAGTGTTGACGAATGTTTTTGGGGGGGGTTTATTATGCTTGTGTGCACCTCTGCCAACCCAGCAGTATCACCGATTAATGTGCTGTATTCTAGTTACATCGGTTTAGATATGGAGCAGATCGGAGCCAGAGTGTAGGAGTTAGCGGCACGCGGGACTGCCGGGATTCTACTCCCATCCACGGCTAACATCAGTGGCGAGTAGTCATCTGAACCGGTCCTGGTGACCACCTTTCCTTCGTTTCACCAGTCCGCACTGAACAGCGCGGTGAAGTATGGTCAAACAATCCCCATGACAGACATGGCCTGTGACGGCCTTCAGTGGCAGCGTGAAGGGGAGGGAGGGCAATGTTTGGGACTGAAACGTAACATCTTTATAGGTCTGCTGATTGGTACTAAAGTAACATATATGTAAATTGAAATATAAGCACAACTCCAATCTGTCTACTAATAAGACATTCTTTTTTCTTCCATCCAATTGGCGTTCCAGACCAATATATATACCCTGCAGCATTTGTTTCAGCAAGCAGAATCTCAACCAGTGGCGAGCATCTGGGTATCAGCATAGTAAGAGGTGTGAAACAAATTCTGTTATTTCCCAGTTATTGGCAAAGAGCACTCCATATAAAATGTGGGGCTTTGTTCAACACAAAGAGTCTGTGTGCTTTATACCTCTAGTAGGGGGTGTTGGTGGAACTCGGCTGACTGACAGTGTTGTCATGAGGCCAAGGGAGGAAGAGTGAAGTTCAGCACGTAATTATATCGGAGTAAAGTGTAAATGACTTGCTACGTGGTTAGACTGTATGCTGAGAAAACTTTGGTCTTGTTAAGACATTTTTACGGACACAATTCACAATGGTACACGCTAATACTTTACATAAAATTTCAGATTACGTAAAGTAAACCTCCAAGTGGGGAGGAGTGAAGTTGAGTAGTTTTAGTACATTCATGTTTATTAGAGAAAGGATATTACCTTAACTATTAAGCAATGGAGTCTACTTCTATTCTTTATAGTTTGTATTTGTATGTTGCCGTTATGAATATTCTGTAGTATATATGTTAAAACCTGATTAAGAATAACAGGCCATTCATATTCATAACGGCAATATGCAAATATTAAACATGTGCTCATGTCTTACCTCACTCATATTGCACTGACATAACTGCATACTAGTTAGAAATGTATTTTCACATAATGAGATACTAAGGATTGACAAACCAGCAAGATTGCAGTGGGTCTTCAAACGTGTTTGCTATTAAATATACCAGAGCGTTCAAAATTAAGCTATGTCCTATTTAGACAGTGTTTCAAAATAACTGAACTATTTAACATTGAGCTTGCAAAAATCTAAAATTGCTTTAATTATTTGCACACCTTGAGTAATGGCCTCTGTTGTAAGTTTTGGCCTTATTAATGCTTTGATGTCGAAATGCCTCCTTTAATAAGGGGGGCCTCAAACACCGCACAACAAAAACAGTGTCACAAAGAAAACACACCGCCTTGCGAACCGTGCGGCACGTGCGTTTCAACGCAAATTAATGCTCGTTTTGTTTTCTTTTTTTTTGTGCAAGGACACTAAATGAGCCGTGATGAATGCCAGACGGAGACATGGGCCCAGCAGTACCGATCAGGGCATCTACTTGGGGCCCAAGCAGATGTTCTCGCACTCCGTCCCAGCGGCCTCCGTCCCAGGCACCTTTGACCCGGCCAGATCATCGCTGGAATCGGTGCCCCCGCAGGCTGTACCCACGTCGCAGAGCCAGCTTGGCCCGCCGGCCATGGGCGCGTCGTTGGGCCAGGACCGGACGTCGGAATTCTTGGCAGCCTGCAAGTCCATGCAGGGCAGACATGTGAGCGAGCGTACATTGCCTGGCGCCGCAAGGAATATACGCAATCCTAAAACCAGGCAGTGGATTGAAAAAGGACAGGATGTGTATATTGGCGGTGGTGGCACATGCCTGTACTTCAGCACTGTGGAGGCGAGGGTTGATGGATCACACAAATGTTCTGAAACACCCTTCGCTTGGGTGTGAAGGGGCTATACCCTGCCTTGCCAGGAGAACACAGCACAACAAAAATGTGAACTCCACCTCTTCCATCTATATGGGATAGAGTGTAGCCTCGTCGCACATGTGGGTATGATCCGGGTGCTCCAGTTTCCTCGTATGTTAACATTATTTGGCAAATAACTCCTTAATATATAGAGGACAGCAGAGCTTGGGCAATTACTGGTGGCGGCTCACTATCTGGCTGCTTTCCAGCTTGTCTGTGGTTCCTCGCACCTCTGAGTCGTTCCCTCTCTTCGAGAGTGAGCGAATACTGCACGTTACAAGTTGAAATTATTACTATTGTTGTAAGCTTAAGAATTAACTTTAATTTATTAATCAATGGAAGGTAACAAATTGCCAGAAGGTTACATGCCTACGAGGCAGTCTGTTCCAGGCTATCTGGCATGAGTTTGGAGGCTTCGTTAATGAGAAGCAAGACTTTGAGATCAGGGATGTATTTATAGGACTTACGTCATAGCACTGTGAAATTATTCCCATATGTTTTAACACAATAATGTAGCAACATAACACTATGGCAGTACCTGACGAGAGATATAAAAATGTGTTTTTCATGAACAAAGCGTCAAGCCCATGTCAACCTCGGACATAGAGCCTTTATACATATTTGCAAGATTATAGCTATTTTCTTTTGGTTTGAGATATGGTAGTATCCAATCAAAGTAAATGGGCTTGGTACCCCTAATTCACTCTTCCCCATAAACTAAAAGGAAATGAGACGTACTTCGAGGCAGTATGGGATCCTTTCCTTAACAGCCCACTCAACCTACCCCCGCACACCCCGGAAGCTTCTCGAGGAGGATGGAAAGAGACTGAATTAGGAGAAAGTAGGTGAACGGCTCCCGAATAGACTGACAAGAATCCAAGGGAGAGGACAGAGGGAAAATTATTATGAATGATGTCACCTAGACCCCCTCCACCTTACAGCCAGTCCTGGAACCTGTGCTCCTTTTTTCTCTCCAGTTGCCCACTCCACTCCCCTCCTCCCACTTAACCAGAAATTGTTCCTCCTTCATGTGAATACTTACCCTACAGAGGTCACAAGCCACAGATCGCCCTCCCCCCTACCGAGTATTGGACCCATGTGCAATGGGTCCAATAAAGAAAAAAAGTAAATGGGCTTGGGCAGGGCATGCTTGAAGGAATGATGGCAGATGGTCCAGAATAAAGAGAGATTGGCAGCCAGAGAAGAGAACGCATCTGAGAAGACATCCACTGATATGATGCAAATAGAATCAGCTCTTGGGCAGGTGTTAGGTGGACATCATAGGATCGGGAAGGAGAGTGGTGGTATAGTGCGGAGGCCTTCATCCAGCAGTGAATTGACTATGGCTGATGGCCATGATAGCATGCAATTGTAGCCACATCTCAAGACGTTGCACATAAACAATGTGCATTTTTATTTTGTAGATAAAACCTCGTTTCGTGGTATTGTCTGCCTTAAAAATCCAGCATCTTCATGCCCAAGTGAGTGTTTGGGAGTGCACATCATTGTTGGCCGTCCAAATCCAGTGGTGGAAATTCCACATTTCTATGGCGAGTGACCACTTTCTGCAATTGATAACCAACGTTCACTCCCCATGACGCAATGTCAATTTTATTGACCCAGAGGGATGAGTGGTTAAGTTGCCTGGGATTTGAATTACAGGATTCTGATCGAATCAGAACTGAAATCACGGTGGCTTGGAGGTCGATGGAGAAAAAAAGGTTTCCCATGTCATCAATAACAAATGCTGGCTCATCAATTGAAATTCCAAGTGTGTATACACTGAAGTGTTTAGTAATGAATATGGTGGTATATGCTTCCCAGCCTGTGCCTCTAAATTGCTGACATTGCAAGCCCTGAAAGTACACGCTTTCATTAAAATTGGCAGAATTCTTATGTTTGTTGTGGCAAGAGTTGCTTTCTTGATCCTCAGTTTACCCATACCAAGCACACTGTCTACAGACTGGGATTTGCATAATGAGCATCATGGCTTGTCAGTAATTGCCATATATTTAACATCTACGAGAGTGTTGTGCAGTGGTTAGCGCACCGTGCTTATGAATCCAAGTTTGATTCCTGGCCACGGATAACATCAGTGGTGAGTGGTATCTGAACCTGTTATGCCCTGCCACACCGCATCTTCGTCATACCATGCTGACCAGTATGGTGAAGCATGGTTAAACAACCTCCACGTCTGATATGGTGTGGGGAGCCCTTCATAGAGAAGTCTGTTGATAAAGGACTCTTTTTTTATATATCTATATCATAACTAAAATTAATATTTCTTGACTTAAAGCTTTCGTGACTGCAGGAATTCATATTCTTTGGGTCTTTCGGTAGAGCCACGTAAGAATATAAAATTAATATTGCAGGTGTTTTTCTTTTGCAGAACGGAGCTTATGTTGACGGCCAGAACAACAGAACGTTAAGACAGATGAGTGAATTCAGCTTAATGGCCAAGTAAGTTGGGACAGCTATGAGTAAATTGTTACTTTAAGCTGAATTCGCACTTAAATATTGTGCAGCTGACTGCAATAAAACACACTGCACACCTATTGTAGCACATACACCGAGTGATCTCATGTTAAAGAAACAGCACTTTGAGAACAAACACACCTGCTCGTTTGCTTGCAGATTTATTATTTGTTCAAATTACTGTTTTTGTTGGAATTTTGACAATTTAGTGAACGGATTTAATTCGGCCATCGTGGCTTTTCTGCTTGCACAGACGTGCAGAAACTAACTTGATTAAAAACTAATTGCATTTAAGTACAGCGGGAGTTGTTAACTTGGATTGAATTCATCTGCAGTGTGCAGTCTATCCGTTATGGAGGCAAGCAATTTGAATTGGCTGCAACAGCAAAGCAAACACATTAATTGTTATTAATCTCGTTTTAGAAGCTTGGCAGTGGGAGGATGAAGCCAAAAAGCACAAGCAAAGCACTAATTACTGCTGCCCTTTCTCCCAGGCGAATTGGAAGGGACTTGAGCAACACATTTGCCAAGCTGGAAAAACTGACGTTTTGTAAGTCTGGCATGTGGCCCTCATTTTGTGATGGGACCGAGACAGGAATGTACCGTTGGATGCATCACCAGTGTGTTCACTTATGAGAGGCATGGGTCCATTCCGCATTCATGACCCCGAGCATTAACACCTGCAACCAATTCTGTTTGTTCATCCATCATCCGTCGCACATTCCATGTCTGGTAAAGATGAGGCTCTTATTTTTGTATAATTCCTGCTCGTACCCTTCCCAAAAAATATGGCAGTTTTTGCTTTAAGTGTAAATATTATGATAATTAAGAGAATGGCGTAAAATTTTACTGCGTGCTCAATCACAATGCAAAACAATGGAATGCATAAGCAGAGCATTGCAGTATATATTTTTGGAATTTACATGCAGCAGATCCAATTCAGCTTCACAAACATTGGCACTTTCCGCCGTGCAATCAAACTGACGGAATTAAGAGACGGGGGGAAAACAAAGAGACCTGATGTAATATTCTGGAATTCAAACAAACGGATTCCGCAGACTTGGACTGCCAACGTTGCCACGCTAAAAGCCACGGTGACGTTCCTGCCTCCATTGGGATTGCCCACCCAACCCACCCCCCGTGCGTTGTGCGTCAGCCGCTGTGGTGTTGGACGAGTGGCAGCCTTCCGTAATGGGTCTTGGCAGCAATGTTTGTGCCAGGCTTCCCTGCGGTGGTTTTTTTTTTTTTACGAGGCGTTACGGGCCACTGAGCAGTGTGCTTTTTGGGCACATTTGATGTGTGGGGTTGCTGAGGTTATTGGAATACATGGCACAAATTACCCCCCCCCCCCAAGCTACCTCGCGCTTATTACCGTTGTTTTTTATTCCAATATTCTCCAGAATAACACACTTTTATTCCTCCCCAATATTTTAAAACGAAAGTTAAGGAATGCGCATTGCAATGCGCAGAATACATTTATTCCGGAAGACATGTTTTAGTCTAGATGTTCAGAGCTAATTTTCCTTAAGATGGTTCTCCATAGCAGCTATACAGAATAGTCTTGAATACATCATATTTTCCTATTTTTATAGAAGTGCAGTCATAATCATCTTCCTCAAGACGGCGCTCCATAACACGATTATAAAACAAACGAGTGGGGTGTGTTTTACTTTCCGGATTGTCGTAAGAGAATGTAAATAGTTGCCAAGTAGTGATATCTATCTGATTAATAAGTGTACATTAAGACAAACCTGACTAAAATACTTTTACACATTAATCTCAACAATGGCTTTGCATATTTTTGATGTTCATATTTACAAAGCTCTGTATTTGTTTAACGGATGTGTTAAATGGCTCTCATTTTTCAACACTTTAATAGCTTATAATTTGTCCATTAAATGAACAAGACAGTCGATGCTGCATTCACCTTATTTAAATTTTCATCGCGTGTTGAGAGATTAAATCGGAATAATATTGCAACAGATGTATGCAGTATGATTACAATGATATGCAAACTAGTTCTGACTGATGGTAAAATTAACAAAATACACCCCCACCCCCGAAAATAAGTCCCTGCTGATCTTAATATATAGTCATAATTAATTAAAATATAATACATAATAAATTAAATTACGTATGACACAATGGGTGTACCGACAGAGACCCGAGTTCAACATCCAGCCACGGCTAACATTAGTGGCGAGTGATATCTGAATGGATCCTGGGATTACACCCATCACCGAACTCACAAATACCAGTATGGTGAGGTGTGGTCAAACAACCAACATTAACGACATGGAGTGAAGGTCCCTTAATTCTGTAGTGAATCGACAAAGGACTGTAATGTTTTTTTTTCTTATCATCACACAAAGGCTGGCTCAAGTTTAATGTGGCAATGGACTGCCGTGGTTTTGAGTTGCAGTTAAAGGAAGGTTCAACCGAAAAAAAACCAGCTCGTGTAGTTACGCACCTCATCTGTGCCAGGCTGCATGTCATGACTTTGAAGCATTGGTAATTAGATCAAGCTGGCACAGCAGTCTATTAAACAGATATTTTAGTTTGACGATTTGATCATACGAAGAAATGTATATAAACGTGCAAAAGGACCAGCACATGTTATAACGCAAGTGCACTAATCATATTGATAAAGTGTTATTTTGCCTTGTCTGATCTAGACACAGTGTTATTATTAAGCTATGTGGCAATTTTTAGATCAATTTGTACATGTTTTTAAGTGTTTGTGAAAATGTGAGGTGTCCTTGATGGCTCAATGTATTTTTTCTCAAGACAGCAGTAAGTGCTGAGGGTAGCATTAGCCACTTAACCTCTAACCATAAACCATAGACACTCTTTAGCCAAGCAAATAAAGAAGATGCATTGTCACTGTCTTGTTGCCTATTTCAGTGACGAAAAATATGTCACTTCAAGATGACAAATCTGGAGAGATTGGGGAACTAACCTACATCATCAAACAGGTAAAACCTGATTTCTACATTTGAATTATAGAAGACTTACTCAAATTTATGTCAAATAAATGTAACTAGCTTTTTTGCCCATCCACGGACGGGTGTATGTTGCAGTACATCTGAAATATTAAATAGAAACATTGTTCAGCTCATTATTAATGAGGGGGGGGGAGGGGAGTTGCCCCATGTGGAGTGACGTCACCCCCTCATGGTTATTGTGGAGGGGTGCGGCATGTGGAGTGACGTCACCCGCTCATGATTATTAATGAGGGGAGGGGTGCGGCATGTGGAGTGTGCGACCTTGTGCGTTAGTGTAAATTTCCACACATGCATGAATATTAATGAAGGGGGGGGGCTGTTTTGCGGTGACGTCACTCACGGATGTAGCAATGTGCTGCGTAGATTTATTTTTTACCGTCACTTTCTGCAAATAAATGTCATATTTGAAGCGACTGCGTAATAAATAATTTAATTCAGCTCGACCTTCCTCTGCATTCGTGTAAAAATCCACCCACTCATGAATATTAATTAGGGAGTGGGCCTCATGTGGAGTGACGTCACGGGGGGGCTCATGTGGAGTGACGTCACGTGCGAGACGGACAGACATTTCTGGGTGATTATAGTAGGTAATGCACAAAAACAATATCAGTATAATCAGCTTTTGTTCGTCCACACGGTACTTTTTTTTTAAATAGTATTTATGGATATCATTAGTCCTCATTTGCCAGTACCAAAAAAAGGGGAAAAACCCTATTATAGTATTTATAGATGTATATGCAACTGTTTAACAATTCAAAGTTCAGTTCTGTTCAACAGCTGAGCCTCACTCCTAGCTGACTTCTGATAGCTCAGTAAGCACCCACCATGTAACATTTCTGTCTGCCTTGCAGGACATAAACAGCCTGAACAAGCAGATAGCACAACTGCAGGCATTCGTGAGGAGCCGCGGTGCTCAAAATGGACGGCATGCCCACTCTCACGCGAGCACGGTGGTCGTGGCACTGCAGGTAAGACAACGTGGCACCCGTTAGAGTCAGAATGACTCGTAACAAGCTACCTGCTACAGTCATAGTATGTTCAGAGTGACTCATTGTAACAAGCTACCTGCTAGAGTCATAGTATGTTCAGAGTGACTCATTGTAACAAGCTACCTGCTACAGTCATAGTATGTTCAGAGTGACTCATTGTAACAAGCTACCTGCTAGAGTCATAGTATGTTCAGAGTGACTCATTGTAACAAGCTACCTGCTACAGTCATAGTATGTTCAGAGTGACTCATTGTAACAAGCTACCTGCTAGAGTCATAGTATGTTCAGAGTGACTCATTGTAACAAGCTACCTGCTAGAGTCATAGTATGTTCAGAGTGACTCATTGTAACAAGCTACCTGCTCGAGTCATAGTATGTTCAGAGTGACTCATTGTAACAAGCTACCTGCTATAGTCATAATAGGGTCAGAGTGACTCATTGTAACAAGCTACCTGCTAAAGTCATAGTATGTTCAGAGTGACTCATTGTAACAAGCTACCTGCTCGAGTCATAGTATGTTCAGAGTGACTCATTGTAACAAGCTACCTGCTAGAGTCATAGTATGTTCAGAGTGACTCATTGTAACAAGCTACCTGCTATAGTCATAGTAGGGTCAGAGTGACTCATTGTATCAAGCTACTTGCTATAGTCATAGTATGTTTAACACGTAGGCTTTCGCGACCAATATTATTCATAATAAAGGTTTTTGGGTTAGATCGCGTTTATTTATAAATGTGTCGTAACCCTCCACCACCCGATACGGCCAATCAGCAAAAAAAGTGTCACGTTGACAAAAGACAAATAATTCACTACTTTAGCCCACCGGTGTGTTGAAGAGTGAATCCACATTTACAGTTTGAGTACGACATTTCGCTGGTAAATACATCCAGCATCATCGGGCAATTCGCCAGAATGGTAAAGCCCTCGCTTGCTCCCGGTTTTATATAGAGCAGCAGGGTGACGTCATCACTTAACTCATATCAGGTGCAGTGATTAAAATTAGCCCGTGTTTTGCAAAAGCAAAACATTACAGTAAGATTTGGTACAGTACACAAAATTCAAAAACTAGTATCTTGCACTAAAGACGCATTACCTAAATTATCAACAGAAGGTGTATATCGGATTAATTGTTCATGTGGCAGCTGCTACATTGGGCAGACGGGACGTAACATCAGTGTAAGACTAAAAGAACATCAGAGAAATATTAAATTATCTCAAACACAACTGTCGGCAGTGGCAGAACATGCTTGTCAACAAGGACACTCAATTGATTTTGACAATGTTGCAGTGGTGTGTAAAACTAATTATTACTGGCAAAGACTAATTAGAGAATCCATTGAAATTGAGAGGAACAAGAATAACTTTAATCGCTCTGACAGCTACAGGCTTAGTGCGGCCTGGAAGCGTATTATTAAATAATACACATTACATTTTGATTAAAGAATTACTAATCTACAACTCATTACTAATCATAACCAATGACTGATTATTAATCGATTATATAATTACAATACCCCCCCCTCCGCCTCTAATCACTGCACCTGATATGAGTTAAGTGATGACGTCACCCTGCTGCTCTATATAAAACCGGGAGCAAGCGAGGGCTTTACCATTCTGGCGAATTGCCCGATGATGCTGGATGTATTTACCAGCGAAACGTCGTACTCAAACTGTAAATGTGGATTCACTCTTCAACACACCGTTGGGCTAAAGTAGTGAATTATTTGTCTTTTGTCAACGTGACACTTTTTTTGCTGATTGGCCATGTCGGGTGGTGGAGGGTTACGACACATTTATAAATAAACGCGATCTAACCCAAAAACCTTTATTATGTATAGTCATAGTATGTTCAGAGTGACTCATTGTAACAAGCTACCTGCTAGAGTTATAGTAGGGTCAGAGTGACTCATTGTAACAAGCTACCTGCTACAGTCATAGTATGTTCAGAGTGACTCATTGTAACAAGCTACCTGCTAGAGTCATAGTATGTTCAGAGTGACTCATTGTAACAAGCTACCTGCTAGAGTCATAGTATGTTCAGAGTGACTCATTGTAACAAGCTACCTGCTAGAGTCATAGTATGTTCAGAGTGACTCATTGTAACAAGCTACCTGCTAGAGTCATAGTATGTTCAGAGTGACTCATTGTAACAAGCTACCTGCTAGAGTCATAGTATGTTCAGAGTGACTCATTGTAACAAGCTACCTGCTAGAGTCATAGTATGTTCAGAGTGACTCATTGTAACAAGCTACCTGCTAGAGTCATAGTATGTTCAGAGTGACTCATTGTAACAAGCTACCTGCTAGAGTCATAGTATGTTCAGAGTGACTCATTGTAACAAGCTACCTGCTGTAGTCATAGTATGTTCAGAGTGACTCATTGTAACAAGCTACCTGCTATAGTCATAGTAGGGTCAGAGTGACTCATTGTATCAAGCTACTTGCTATAGGCATAGTATGTTCAGAGTGACTCATTGTAACAAGCTACCTGCTAGAGTTATAGTAGGGTCAGAGTGACTCATTGTAACAAGCTACCTGCTCGAGTAATAGTATGTTCAGAGTGACTCATTGTAAGAAGCTACCTGCTAGAGTCATAGTAGGATCAGAGTGGCTCATTGTATCGAGCAACCGGCTTTAGTTATAGCCTGGCATGGATGGAAGAAGGCTTGGCAGGCACCAAATCACGTTTTTCACCAGTTCATGAATTAACAAATTTCACTGGCGTGTGTTGTGTAACTTTTCGTTTTTTTTTCTGGGCCTTTTTTTAGTCTCGACTTGCTGGCATGTCAAATGAATTCAAATCGGTTCTGGAAGTTAGGACGGAGGTGAGCATTCAATTGATTGCTTTCTGTGATATTTCACGTGACATTTGATTATGGCAATGTATTATTTTTAAAAAAATGGTACGATTTGCTAATTTTCTGTCAAAACTCCTGTTGTCTTTAGAGCTTGAGGCAGATGCAGAGGAGGAAGGAGCAGTTTGCCCAGAGTTCCTCAATGGGCGTTCCATTCACGCAGGTGACAGGACATGGTATGCCTCACCTCCTCCAAGCCACACACCGCACACCAGCAGCCCCTTCTGACTTCAATTGTATTTTTAATCAATTTTACCAGATAAGGCCCACTTGAGCTATGTAGCTCTTTTTCAGAAGTGACCTTGCCACAAATGATAGCTCAACGAAGTGGCTTGTCACGTGGACATTTAATATTTTTATACTCCAAAATGCGTGATGTTGATTTTTAATGTGGATGGAAAAAACAGAGGACCCGGATTTGCGTTTCCCAAGAGCACTGTAACCATGTTCGCTGGATTATAGGACACACTTTTTCCCCCCCTTTAATTTCAAGTACAAGTTGTGGGCATGTCTCAGAATCCGATATGTGCTATATGTGTGTGTGATCAGACTTTCATAATTTAAACGCCAGGCACAAGTTTGGGGTACGTCCCATTTTCTGGAGCATGTTAATATAGACAACATGTTTTAGAAATATTTATTTGCAGCTCGTTAATGATGTCCTCCAATTATATTTCTCACCATAAGGTTACGAGGCTGTTTGCGTGGTATGCTATAAATAATAATGAGAGTTGCATGTGTAAACGACAGCATGGAGAGTACTTTAGGACAGGCTATGTGCAAGTGTGCAACAACAATGTTTACAGCCTTCCAACTCCACCTGGTGCCAGACTTATGCAATCAGTGTACTCCGTTTCAGCGTAAATGCCTAAAACTTACGAAACACGGCATGATCTTGTACCTTTGATAACACTGCTTATATGAATGCAAACTGCCGTGCTGTTGCACCAATTTAAATAGCCCGCAACACCGAATAAATAAAGTTGTGGGTGGCACACCTTTGTTAAAAAACTTTTTAAATGTATTTTGGTGCATATGCTACAAATGCTCCGATTGACTGGATGGGTGCACATGGCCATCAGGCACAGCCTACCCAGCATGGCTGGTTAATTAATTCATTAATGCATTTTACAGGATGGAGCTGTCTAATACAAAAAAGCTGGATAGATCCATCAGAGGTCCGCAGCTTGATTCATTCAATCTCCCTCTGCGGCAGTTGAAACAGTGGTGCAAATTTATTAAAGCCACCCGCCTCTGCCCACCCACCGCAATTAGTCAATCGGCAGGTCGTGTGTTGTGGGCTAAAGTATGGGCACTCCCACCTCTCTCAACATGTCTGGCCAGCGTGGAACATCGTGCCAAATACCATCTCTCTCGAAAGCTCCCTCTAACGGAGGGCACTTGCGACAGAAGTGGTAATGAGCAAGCAATCAATTAATTTCAGGGCTGCCCCCTTAAGCAATTAAATGGATCCCAAGTTGAAGCTTTGCGCAGAGGTGCCTGCAATGCGCGGTGGATCAGTGACGAGGCAGCGCCGTGACCCCGCGTGTGTCCGCGTCGGCGCACAGGCCTGGCTGCGACGCAGGACGACGGCTCGCTCGGGGGGCAAGTCTCTATCGACATGGACACGCAGAGGTCCCCACAGGCACAACTCTTGGCAAAGCAGGTCCGTCAGCCACGTTCACACACACACACACGTGCGCAATTCTTCACCGTTGTTGTTTCAAAGCTATGCAACGTGCCTTGAGTGTGTTATAATTGCTTATCCTCACTGTGTGTATGTTGAACTTCTTTCGCACCGTACGTAGCCAACCGTGCTAATCGGTTGGCTACGTGCGGTCTGGAAACGTTCATAGGAGAGTTCATCTCACGTAGCGATGTATTTATTGAGTATAATTATAGTATTCAGTGGGATGCTATTTATTCTTTAACTCCCACATTCTGGAACTCACTTCCCCCAGCAATCCGTGCTGTAGACTCTCTGTTTTTTACTGCATCTCTCTTCATATACAAGGTTGTGAGAGGTGTTCGCATTTAGACGCTATAATACATTCAAATTGTGTTATATTTTAAAAAGCGACTTGTGCCAACAGTACAAATGTTCAATTCACAGGTTTGTCTTTTGTTGTGCATATTACATACCAAAGGTGCTGAAATCAGCGTTCTAAACTTTTTTGGCGATATAATTTTGCGATCTGGATTTTCGCAATTCAACCCCCCATGTCGTAAGCTTTTTTCAAAAAGCAATTTTTTCGTATATTCTTTTCAGTCAAATTTCCCTTGCAATTTACAGTGTTCTGAGCAGAATAATAGAGCTCGGCAAGAACATATCGTTCCCTTATTGTGCACGCATTAACGAGTGCCTGTTTTTTCCAGGAGTCGTACTTACAGGAGCGAACAGATGCTATGAGTGCCATTCAGTCGACCATTGTGGAGCTGGGATCCATTTTCCAGCAGCTCGCCCACATGGTCACTGAACAGGAGGAGACGATACAACGGTCAGTGGATTCACGCAGCGTCTAATCACATGGGTGAGGGGGGGATCTCAGCACGTTAGTAATTGTTCTTCAAAATAATAATCATCTTGTAATTTATCCAGAAAAGCTTCACCGAGTCTCAATACTTATGTATGGATGTGGAACTTATTTTGCACCTTACGTAGCCAACCGTGATAGCTTAACGAAGTGGATTAACACGTGGAGATTTATAGCAGCCAAATACTCTAAACGCATGTTGATTCTAAATGTGGAGGGAAAAACCAGAGGACCCGGGGAAAAATCCACACAACCACCGGGAAAACATGCACACTCCAAATATACAGGCATCAGGGTCGGGATTGAACCCACGACCTCCTGTATACCAGGCAGGGCAGTTAACATCTCGCCACCGTGGCGCCCCTAATCGCCCAGCGGGACTCGTGTGATCCACGCTTGCTTCCAAAGTTCTGGATCGCTGGCGAGGATCACGGCGCGAAAGAACGTTCTGTGCTAAGCGGACAAGTCTTTGAACACGTGCAGGCCTTTGTGGATCCATCGCTGGATGAAGGCATCTCCATACCATGTGAACCATGGAGGTTATTTGGCCATATCTCACAAAAGTGGTCAGTGTGGGGTTTGTTCTGTGCAGCCCGCCATGCATCCGCACAGCCTATAACACAACCTACTGCACCTGGTGGGAACCCATCCTAGTGCTGTCCAGGCTCAACCATGCTCAGCATGAGGTTTGACGAGGTCGGATACATCTTGGGCGATTTTGTCATAGGCCGAGCATCTTTGTGGACGTACTTTTACATTTAAAGCAGTGCATTTGAAGCATGTGTCGAGTATTTTTTATACTTAAGAGTCTAGCAGTTGCACACAGTTTAACATTTTGGGAAAAACTGATTTAGCAATCCTAAAACTTAATATATATGTGTTCTCTTGACCACTGTGTAGGTTATTTTGCAGTTGTACAGTGTAGCTCTCTGATGTGCTTTAGGGTTGTACCGCGTCTTGTTCGGAAATAATGCCCCAATATTTTAACTCCCATGTGCTGGGAGCTTAAGTTACAAACGAAGAAGAAGCTCCCAGCATGTGGGGAGAATGTCAACAACCTGCTGAACAACACGCGGCATATCACCAGAAACACATCGGAAAGTTCGCTCTTTGTTTACCCCGGTTGGCAATATAAGCACTGCAGGCATATGAATAATAAGAATCACAATTAAGACGTTCGTGTTTTTGGGATCATTAGACAATTGGTTCGGCGTACTCTTCCTATAAGGTCCTGTTTTCTGTAATTTGAGCGCAGTTTATCTGTAGTGTTGTTTGAACCTGACGAGTTAATTCTTATTTACTCTGAAGTATGTTGTTTCGTCTGTTTTGCTTAATAATGATTTTCGTGAGTTTTGTCATTCAACTGGCGTGTGTCCCTTCTCAGAATTGACTCGAGCATAGAGGACACACAACTCAACGTGGAAGGCGCCCACACCGAGATTCTCAAGTATTTTCGCTCCGTTTCCTCCAACCGATGGCTCATGATTAAGCTCTTCGCCGTCCTCATCCTAATTTTCATCATCGTCGCGATGTTCTTGGGCTAGTGGGGGACCTCGCACGACTGTGTACCGCGAGCGGCGACTACGCCTCGGTGAAGATTAAAAAAAAAACAGATTCGCCTCGGCGTCCAGGATGCTTCGTGGAACCACGTGCCTGTCTTTGCGAGTACCTGCGGACGAGCAATAACGAAGCCACCAGCACAGACTTCATCCCTGCGATGGCAGGACACGTACGCAATCGGTCGCGTCCGTGTTGCCAAGCCCTCGGCAACAATGAACACAACTGCTTTTTGTGTTTAAGTTGCCCTTCCTCCACACCTCCGATTAGGACGGTTGGCTAGGTATTGTGCGAAAGAAGTTCAGCGTACATACAACAGTCCCATGCATCCACTTCGTGCCGCTCTCAACGGTTTACGGAAGCAGGATCGCGGAGGGCAGCTCACCATGGAGGATTAAAAAATCTCCAGCAAGTTTTTAGTTGTGTGCCACCATTATATTTGTAATGTTGATGCCTGCTCAAACTGCTGCACGTCTTGATCAATTACACAGGAAATACTAACCCTTAGCTCTTCTTGCCTATTGATGTGTTCCACAATGCAAAGGTGGTAGCTGTTGGTTCATGCCCTATTGTGGTTACACCTATACATTCAAGCTTCACGTCAGCACACCACAACATCCAGGCTGGGCTGAGTATCCACCGACTAAAATAAATACGTCGTTAATTACTGGTTTAAATGTGAACTGAATAGAATAGATTTTTGGATTATCACGCTGTACTTACTGACTGCTAATGTTGCAATAAAAGATGAAGATCATGCATTACCACCCACCTGACTGTAAAATTACTCCGTTACATTCCACTAAAACCCCATAGCTGCCCATGCACCACACTGCCGTCAATTGCATTTAGTGAACCCCCCCCCCCCGAAGCAATTAATGCGTGCCATTAAGCGCCGATAAAAAGGACTGCACTGTTGGCTGCACTTGCGGGGCACTGATGTCATAATCAGAATCTCGATTCATCCTCAGCTGTGCCTCAGTTGCATCATTCAGATTGTTCAGCTCTCCGTCAGACGCGATGATCCACTCCTGCCTTGTCCACACGTCAGTCAATTGTCCCGATTTAGCATCGCCATTCGATTCGAGAATCCATATTTTGTTGTTTCGTTTTTACAGTTTCTTGTTTGTTAGGTCGTATCCGCTTCATGATTTCAAATGTAATATTTGCATAACATTTATGTGAATGGTAAGTAATCAATTACAATGCGCACTATTTGAGGCATAAAATGTCAGCGCAGTAATTTATAGTTTTATCGATTTATTGTAAAAAGCCTGCCCCGTAGTGTTTCATCCTTAACTTTTGTTGTCATTCCCAAGGACCAAGTATTCTTGAATAACTCAGTGAAATAGTGTTTCACAGCTCACCGAGATGGACTAATATTTGTGTCACTCTTGTGCAAGGCTTTGAAACACGATGCAAGCTGCTATTTGTCTTGTCATGTAGTGGCAGTTGTTAGCTCACTGTTGTTGGCTACATGTATCCACCTAGGTATTTTTTTAACAGTCGTTCATTACTTGCACGATAAAATCAAAAGTAGGCGTCTTGGAATGGACGCCACCTATTAGACATAAGGCCTATGTAATGTTTCGCGCCCTCTTGGTTTCATGAACTGTCACAGATAAGAGGTCATTATATTTAAAAATAAATTAGAATTTTTTACATTGTGATACATTGCAGTGCCTTTAGTGCCTGCAGAGGTCACGTGAACAAATCACACTCGTCAGGCACATTGTAAAATCATGTTCTTACTGGCACCGTTAGAATGCAGGGATTGTGAGTGCAATAATACATTGTAATGAAACCGAATGTTAAACCCATTTAAGACATTGTATAATATATTTTTTAAATAATATTTGCGTTTATCTCCAGTTGCATCCTGATTTTGCTATCAACGTCGTCGTTTTCTGAGAAGTAACATTCAGTTATAACTTGGAGGGCAGTTCGTCAGCCAACGTCTCCGCGGCCTGTTGCAGAGAGAAAGAAATGCTCATCGCATGACGGTCAAACTGACGCGTTTCATTCTCGGATGCAATTTATCCAAATTTTAGTGGAAAAGCCAAATTGAATGAGGTTTTTTGTTGTTGTGCAGTCATTGGTCATCAGGCTGCAATCAACAACTTCACTGCAGATTCAGAATATGTATTTATACTGGAGGAATCCGATGAGCGAGAAAGCTCTTTTTCACATGTCCAGCAGGGGTGGGTAAGAAGGTTACAACGACAAACAAAACAACAACACGATAGTCGTGCAAAGTACAAGCAAGGTAAACAAATCACCCGTACACAAATACAAAACACTAAACCAACCCCATCCTACCAGACAAAGCCCACTGAGGTATTAACTTGTTTTTCAGAAGCGACCTTGCCACAAATGATAGCTCAACAAAGTGGCCCCATCATTTGGACGTGATAATCACGGACAGCTGGCTGAATTCAAACTCAGGATCTACTCAGTGCTGACCTCTAAGCCACGAGTGTAAAAAAAAAAAATTGTATCCATGGACTCATATACAGTGAGGGAAAAAAAGTATTTGATCCCCTGCTGATTTTGTACGTTTGCCCACTGACAAAGAAATGATCGGTCTATAATTTTAATGGTAGGTTTATTTGAACAGTGAGAGACAGAATAACAACAAAAAATCCAGAAAAACGCATGTCAAACATGTTATAAATTGATTTGCATTTTAATGAGGGAAATAAGTATTTGACCCCTCTTCAATCAGAAAGATTTCTGGCTCCCAGGTGTCTTTATACAGGTAACGAGCTGAGATTAGGAGCACACTCTTAAAGGGAGTGCTCCTAATCTCAGCTTGTTACCTGTATAAAAGACACCTGTCCACAGAAGCAATCAATCAATCAATCAGATTCCAAACTCTCCACCATGGCCAAGACCAAAGAGCTCTCCAAGGATGTCAGGGACAAGATTGTAGACCTACACAAGGCTGGAATGGGCTACAAGACCATTGCCAAGCAGCTTGGTGAGAAGGTGACAACAGTTGGTGCGATTATTCGCAAATGGAAGAAACACAAAAGAACTTTCAATCTCCCTCGGCCTGGGGCTCCATGCAAGATCTCACCTCATGGAGTTGCAATGATCATGAGAATGGTGAGGAATCAGCCCAGAACTACACGGGAGGATCTTGTCAATGATCTCAAGGCAGCTGGGACCATAGTCACCAAGAAAACAATTGGTAACACACTACACCGTGAAGGACTGAAATCCTGCAGCGCCCGCAAGGTCGCCCTGCTCAAGAAAGCACATAGACATGCCCGTCTGAAGTTTGCCAATGACCATCTGAATGATTCAGAGGACAACTGGGTGAAAGTGTTGTGGTCAGATGAGACCAAAATGGAGCTCTTTGGCATCAACTCAACTCGCCGTGTTTGGAGGAGGAGAAGGAATGCTGCCTATGACCCCAAGAACACCATCCCCACCGTCAAACATGGAGGTGGAAACATTATGCTTTGGGGGTGTTTTTCTGCTAAGGGGACAGGACAACTTCACTGCATCAAAGGGACGATGGACGGGGCCATGTACTGTCAAATCTTGGGTGAGAACCTCCTTCCCTCAGCCAGGGCATTGAAAATGGGTCGTGGATGGGTGTTCCAGCATGACAATGACCCAAAACACACGGCCAAGGCAACAAAGGAGTGGCTCAAGAAGAAGCACATTAAGGTCCTGGAGTGGCTTAGCCAGTCTCCAGACCTTAATCCCATAGAAAATCTGTGGAGGGAGCTGAAGGTTCGAGTTGCCAAACGTCAGCCTCGAAACCTTAATGACTTGGAGAAGATCTGCAAAGAGGAGTGGGACAAAATCCCTCTTGAGATGTGTGCAAACCTGGTGGCCAACTACAAGAAACGTCTGACCTCTGTGATTGCCAACAAGGGTTTTGCCACCAAGTACTAAGTCATGTTTTGCAGAGGGGTCAAATACTTATTTCCCTCATTAAAATGCAAATCAATTTATAGCATTTTTGACATGCGTTTTTCTGGATTTTTGTTGTTGTTATTCTGTCTCTCACTGTTCAAATAAACCTACCATTAAAATTATAGACTGATCATTTCTTTGTCAGTGGGCAAACGTACAAAATCAGCAGGGGATGAAATACTTTTTTTTCCCTCACTGTATAATTTAAATTTGAAAACACGAGTCATTTTTCTTTTAATAAGCAAACCAGCGGAAGAAGATAATGATACTGACATTTATAAACGCGCCAGATTTTGCAGTCAACAACCCAGAGGCGCAGAGGCAAAGCTTCGGGCTGCTCAAAAGACTGAGCCCAACAGATAAGAAGAGGCCTTTGGATTTTTCTTAAAAGTCAGAGTGCATTTGATGTTGCGGATGTGCAAAGGGATAGAGAGTTCCACATTAAGGGGGCGACAGCAGAGAACTGACGTGAGGCTATAACAGTTCGAAACCTTTGGTGTCTGAAACAGATTTTGAGTGACGCTGCCGCGTCGGGTTCTACCAGAGAACCATCAGTGCAAAGCCCGGGAGTAGTTAGGCGAGGTATATGGTAGGAAACCGGTGATTTATAGACCTGTGGTCACAACCACGCCATGCATATTCAGGCACTTATTTTCAGTAGAGTTTTGGGAAGATATTCGGAATCTTAATTCGTATCAGGTATTCAGAAAATCGGTCGTTCGGCAGGCGGCATACATGCACATCATAAGAAACCTTAAAAGCGGGCACACGTGTTGAAAAATAAAGGTTTGAAAAATCTGGATCGCTGTGCACTGTCCATCTTTAACGATGTCTTTGCCGTGTTAATTTCTTAAGTGTAAACGAACTATGTACGCATTTATATTGACACGATCTAACCCACAAACCTCTTGTGTTTAAATGTACACATTGAAAATAAAGTTTACTTCATGAAAAGCGTTGACGACACTCTAGCACTTAATATACTTTGGTAAATATCTTGAGTAAATGGTTAATCTGAATGCAGCATGTAGTAATACGTGTTTATAAAGTACTGACCAACAAACCCGAGTTCAACCTTTTCAATTTTGAGAGCATTATTTCAGTTGTGACATTTTTGTATCTGTTTTTAAAAGGCAAATAAGTTCAGGGCCGGGCAATTGGCTGCAGCTTCCAACTTATAGTAGTTGGAAGAAAAGCACGTGCCTAACTTTACATTTGCACCGGCAAATGTAAACATTAATTTAACGGTACTGGATTATTTGTTCAGTATCCCATACTTAACTGCTTCACCTCTTGATGTACAACTGCTGGGAAACGGGACCTGCATAATGTCAAAATCTGAATATTTATCCTGGATAAATCCGATGAGCTATGAAGCTTTTTTCTTCACAGATGTCCAGTAGGGACGGGTCAGAAAATTACAACAAACAATACAAAAACTGCACAATATAGGAAAGGAAAGTAAACTGCTAAAAATAAATACAAGTAAATATATAAGTTACTTGTGCTTAAAATATATAGTAGTAGTTATGCGAGCATAGCACCAAATTACATACAATTAGTTCATAGTTCTTGCATGTGCTTGTAAACGTGCGTGAGGTGAAGCAGCCTCAAGTTGCAGGAGTTTAATGCATGATAGTACAATGCCTTGTGGGTGTACAGTAACTGTCTTGAATAATTTAACCCACACCTTATCAATAATTTCAGCCTTTTTGCTGTAAACATGTTTACAATATTGCAGCTGGCACGATGGTGTCACCAGACCTTATAATCCACAGTATGCTCGTCTGATGCAAAACAGGGCTCTCAGTTTTAAAATGACTCGTTAAACACATGATAAAACTATGGGGCCGTTGCCATTTAAAAATGTTCTGGAAATGTAATATAATTGTATACTTATCCCCATTGCCCGCATGAAGTTCCACTTGGGTGCGCTGCAGTCTTCAATGTCTTTGACAGCCCTTAAAAGTCCCTTGTTCACGACGTGCCGAGTCGAGGCTGCGTGACGTACCCACGTTGGACTTCTTTCGCACCGTACGTAGCCAACCGTGTCGAGTCCCAGATGGCGGTATTCTTGCGGCTGCTCCAGATCGTCACGCTGTAGAAATGCAGTGGTCAGTTTGACTGCAGCTCAACAAGACAGCGAGATGTCTTGTTTGCCAGTATCAAAACACACCTGTCAACCCCTTTTAAGTGCCTACCTCGTTACAGACCAATTCAGACCTTATTGGTCACCCCGTGTCCCTGAAAAATCTCAACGTTCATCCTATAAAGTCCCATCACAAGGGAGACACGAACAAATAGACAATGTTTTGCCCGTATTGAAACGGCTGTCCGCCTTATTGACCTGAAAACTCAATTTCGCTGTACAAGAATACGGGTAAACCATACTGGTTCGCAGGCATGTCAAAGTATTCACACATAAGAATAGGTTTAACCTATTATTTGATACTGGCAAAAAGGTCCCATGATATCAGACATCTGCAGTCAAGCTGACAGCATCCCGAGCTATGAATGCTCTGATACGTGTGGCATTGCCTTTGGACTGTTCGCCTTTTGGCGTTCTCTAGTCAGACACCAGTGAGACAGGGCCATAAAGGCCGTCTTTGGTGTAGGCCAATCAGTTTCTAATTGGATGCACTATATTATCAGATCATGTTGGTTTGCATGTTCGCCACAAGTATGAGTGGTGAACATGCAGACCTGATTCCTTGCTAAAGGTATCTATTTGGTTCTAGATTTGAAGTTTTCGTGACCGCAAGGATCCATACTCTTTGGTTCTTTCGGTAAAGTCACGTAGATGAAAAAATAAATAATACATAAATATAAAACATAAAAAGTATGAAAATAATATTTATTCATATTATTTATTTATTGTTCTTTTTCCACCTACGTGACTTTACCGAAAAAACCAAAGAGTGGTGTTTGAACATCTTAACACCTGTTTTATTACCAGAAAGGATAAAACCTATTCTTATTTTTCACGAGACGTCTGATATTTCGCAGCGTGTCAAACGACACACGCAGCAACAACACGGCAATCCATTGGAGAGCTGTACAGCGCAAACCCTGAAAAAATAGTTTTAAAACAAAAACAAGGTTATTAATCATTATGCACGTCATCTCTTTGTGTTGTCTCTCCAAGTTACACGTTCCAATTTCCAGGGTCGCAAACGAGATCAAATTCTAAGTACGGTATCTTTATTTAGCACATCCATACGAGTGTAGTGACATAGAATAATCACAAAACACGCTGGTTACTGGTAGAGAGCGGGATCGTGGGTTTAATAACCAGATCTACCAGCAGGGCAGGTGAAGTGTGCCACTGGGGCACGTAGCCTCGGTTGCTGGCAGTGAAGGGCATTTGAGGATACAGCGGCCGGTCTGCCAGTAGGGCACGTGATTGGCACGGATGCAGGTGACAGAGCAGACGTGGGGCAGAGCCCAGAACCTTCTGGTAGGTTCCAGAAGGGGGCGTGACCGAGGTCGGAGACAGACCACGCTGGGGAGGATAAAAGGGAGGCCCCGACGCTGGGTCGGGGCTGATTCGGTTTGGGAATGGAACCCGTTGTCTTCACAAGTCTTCAACCCCGGTAAGCTCTGTGATATCCACTCCCAAATGCCACTCTCAAACATGAAGTTTGCACTGCTTTGAGATCCGAATGGGCGGTCTCATGATACCACACCAATTATACAAATCAGTATGAACATTAAAGGACAATTACAATACTTAAAAAAACGTAATAAACATTAAATGTGTGCATTTTATATTAAAGCGCCAGGCTTCCTTTGTGCTTGGCATCGAGCCCCTGGGGAAGATCAGAAGACGTTCTGCTCAACGAACCATGCGTTGTTAAAACTACAATTTATAAACGTCACCATTGCATTGTACGTAGCGACACAAGCAACATTACCGGGGCAATGTGTATGGTAAACGTGATGCTATTCAGTGGTGTAAAAAAACATATCCTAGATCGTTAACTTAGGAGACTTATTATTTCATATGGCAAGGTGAAACTTTCAACATTGTGTGTAAAGGTTATCAAGCCATTCAGTCGCCTCTGCGGAAGCTTTGTGGATGTCAGTGATGTTGACCGCGAATCGGCGGTGCGGGCAGTGCTGGATTACATAATTGATGGTCTGGCTCTGGTCACTGCAGGCGTCACATTGCAGAATGCTCATCATCTCCCATTGATGAAGGTGACCGTACCTGCCATATCCTTTTCTGCAGAGATTTAGGGCTTACAACTTTTTTTTCTGGGTAGGTGAAACCCCAGGAGTTCTTATAACTTCCAATGTCTGGTTAAATGTATTCCCACCAAGGTCATCCAAATGTGGTTCATAATGGATTCTTTAGTTTCCATCGTGCAAAATGGCTCAATTAAATACGCCTCACTAAACTGATTAAACAGCAGTTGGATCAGGCGAGCGTGTCGGTTATAATTCCAGGTTGAAATATTTCATGAATCGTCGCATTGGAAGAGCACAGTGTAAAGTGTTTAACGCTGCGGTGGAAGATAGCCTCAAGCGGCTGCAGGGGTGACACATTGCAAACACTACTTTCAAGTTGGAACACATGGGATTCTTGCACGCGATACAATTCATGTATTGCGAGCTTAAGAATCAATATACATTGCGCGTTCCACACGTTCCAACCTTAGTTAATCCAATTACAAATGTCAGTTCAAGAAAATAGCCTACATACGCATACTTTTATGTTTAATCTGCATTGTTACGACACTAACATTTGAACGCATTCTAATATTACGCATGGCAATAAGTTCAGCAGCTAAACGCCATGGTCGAGGTCTGCTAGCTAACAAGAGGGCTTCAGAAGAGTGTTCGTGTTGTCGCTATTCCTCTGTTGAAGCAGCGCAGACTGCAGTCGTTTACCCTATGGCCCCATAGTTTGGTTTGCATGGCCACAATCGCTCCGCCATGGCTTGTCGTACGTAGAATTTTCTATTTGTGATGGAAATGCATGCATCAGTCTCTGTTGATGTTCTGTTGCAGAATCGTTAAGGAATGTCAGACAGGAGGGACGTTTTGTTTGGGTCTGGAATAAATTTTCGTTCTCGAAGTCCACGTTATTCCACTGTTCGTCAGCGTTCTCCTTGAACATGTTGATGTTCATTGTGCGGGCCATAGCCGACTGAAAAATAAAAGCATCTCGACAAACTCAAGTTCGTGAATCAAAAGTCACCAAATTGTAAAAAAGAAAAATTGGTTTCTTCGTAACTTTATTTCAAACGATGTCTACCTGAACGCAATGAATATACAACACAAATGCCAACATCGAAACGTCGTCTGGCGAGCCCAATTGGCAGCTAGGCTTCACAGTTAACACGTTTGGCAAATTAAACACGGTTAAAGAGTACTTTCCGGGCATATTTACTACACGTGGAAGACGTTCATGAAACGGTAAAGAGTTGCAATTAAAAGCAAATTGGTATACATGTTTACAACTAGAAAAGCATATGCACAGAAGAAAAAGCGTCACAAGTGTTGGAATGATCTAAAACATATATTTTCATGCACTCAAAATTACATCTTGCACTTTTAACTAAACAACAAAAAAAGCTGCAACGTTTGCATTAAATGTTGCCAGTGTTGAAACGACACGAGCCATACGTATCCTTGCGAGTTATTTCCTGCCGTACAATGACGCCTTATTTAACATTTACTTTTAAAGGTGTCCGTCATTGGTCTGTGCCCAAAGCAAGCCCTTTGTTTGGCCCGATTTTCCCACTCCGCAAATTAAAGTGGTTCTTTGACACGGGTGTGCATTTACTCTCGGCGAATTCCACTTGACACACACTCATTATGCTTTCACATGGAACACCATGGGTAACTGAATATATACAAGCACAACTTGGTGACTTTAAAAAAGTAATCCCTTTTGGCTTTCCAAATATTATCAAGCAGCATTTTGTTTAAGCAAACTCTGGGACCTGTTTAAACTTTCTCGCTACTCCATCTGATTGTCAAGCTGGTATTACCAGATTTTATCGGCTTCAAAGCACTCCATATAAACTACGGGACCCCGCTAAATGGAGAAAAAAGCAATACCGTACATAAACTCGGTGTGTGCTTTGCCGTAGAGCATTTACCGAGGCGAGCGTGCTATCGGGACAATTCTACTACTGCTGGAGGAACTAGAGTGACAGGAAAGACGGCTGACCTTTGCATCCTTTCACAATGTAATTTTGACAAACAACAAAAAAAACACAAAATGACAACAAATTAACAAAGGACGGCTAAACACATTCACGTTTCATACGGAGTTTTAATTCTATTTTTGCGTATGTTCAGGAGCTAAATGTCGCATGAGTGAAAACAAAGTATGACAAACGTGAAATTGAGCTGGACTATGTCGTGCAATTACTTAACCGAGATGCCGTCACTCGGTCCAATGCACGTGTGAATGAGTGGAGACGATCGGCTCGCGATAAAAACCACTCGGATACCTGAGAAATGACGGCCTAATGTGTACATCATCAGGGCTCATTAAGTTTAAAGAAAAAAACCATCGAGCCGCAAACACTGCACAAAGCACCCGCGCGTTTCCCCGCCAGTGTCGCTGACATGACATCGCATCAACGCTTAATCTTTCTTTTCATTCAGAAGACGTTTTTTTGGGTTAGATCGCGTAAATATACATGTGTCGTTAAACCCACCACCACCCGGCGCAACCCATTCGTAAGGTTTGTCACGTAGACAAAACGTGCCCATTAGTTAGTTTAGTACAGTGGTATGTTGGAGAGTAAACTCACAAAATGTACAACTTCTACTCGTTATATTTTAACTAAGGCACAATAAGGCAAAGACGCAACGTAGAGGCCCCCCCCAAGCCTGTTTGAAGATAAGATTGTTGTCGCACCGAATTTTACGATATTGCGATGAAACAGACGCTGCAACAACAATAAACTCATCCGTGGTCGGCCGTTTCGGTCGGCGTAACTGGAAAACGCAATCCAAAAATGTTTTCATTTGCGGATAGTACGTGCGCTGTACTCCAAGCTGCTCAACGCGAGGTTGAAGGGTAATGATAAAAAAAAGGCCTAACACTCACAGGAACGCGCTACCGACATCAGTCCTGTGTTTAAAAAAAATAATTATTGCAGTGATATCGCTCAACACTTCCGGTTGGGATTTTAAACTATTTTTCCCTCACGAGAAACACGGACATTGACGAAGCAAACTGAGCGCGTTAATGTTTGAAAAAGAAGAACGGAGAAGAACGGAGACATGCACGATTGCAATTACAATCGGAGGCAGAAAGACGAGCACAATGAGTAGAGAGAACATTCCAACATTGACCGTTAAGAAAAGTGCACTTTGGCAGAACACTTCGCGATAAGGGATGAAGGCTTGTGGTCGAGACGACCAACGGAGTGACAAAGCAAAGGAGGGAACGAGGAGATGGAGATACAAAATCGGCTTGCGTACAGGTGCTCGATGTATTGTTGCATCGCACGACCGAGAGACGGCAACGGCTTGAGGTCTTCATTCCAGCGGTGAATTGATCATGGCTGATGATGACGCCTCAAAAACCCATGTCAAACGGTCTACTTAGGTACGGGTACATATCTAACTAGATCTGTACAGCAATTCACCGATGAGTTCTTTGAATGGATTCTCATTATCCTGGATACAAGCATTGAATGTGTGAAAAACATCTAAATTATTTATGATTAATGTTAATTATATTCTAATCTGCAAATATCTATGTAGGCGAATGGGCATAACAAACCAGAACAGAACATACGAGACTGGCATGAGGAGCGACAAAACGAAGACAACACTTAATTTATTTGTAACTGAAATCTGGCGCTTCATCAAATTACCGGTAGTTGAATCGTAACGTATAGTTTGTATTAAATATTTTTAATATTGGACAACATATTTAAATGTTTGTAATATTTTCTACTTTCCTTTATTGACAGTCTGAATTTTGTTTTGTTCTGGATCCAGTTGTATCCTCCTGACGTTAATACTGTTAATCTTTAGTTAATTAACAATTACCCATTCAAATGCATAGCATCACATGGGAATATCTGTAAAATACAAAGGTATGCATTGAAAGTACAAAAGCTTATCCAGACCACAAGCTCAAAATAACTGTGTGTGGCAAATGTCATTTGGACCAACGAATCAAAAGGGTTGAGAAAATGTGGTCATGCCAAATTGGCAGCAGTGAAACAGACACCTGTACCCGGTTTCATCGTCATGAGCACTCATCAGTAAGCCATCAACATTCGCTGCTGCAGTATGCCTCTAGGATCCCCATATCTAGATGGCTTGTACCTTTACACTATGCTGACCTCATCTACACTTGCCTAGTCAACAATAATTAAAATAAGAAAATGAGGATGAAAATCCCATCACTTACAGATTACTTGTGGCGATGGATTGCTCGTCGTTGACAGATTTAAATCATCTCGCGTGGGCCGCACATTCTTGCACCTAGTTTTGGCCACCAGATTTCACGGAATTATTTTGAACAATCAGCTCGTCGGCACGTAAAGTCCACATTCTACAAAACCGAGCCATTACAAACGCATAATTGTTCCCCGACAAGCGTACATCAAATTGTATTTTGCCATGTAATATTTGCTTCTCTTAAAACGAAACAGGAAGAGGAATATGCGCACAAAGATGGTCACGTTGAAGGGCTCAAAGCAAAGGAGCGCAAACATTCATCAGCCCTCACAGCTCGCCGATCATCCTCTGAATGTCCTTCAGCTTCTCAAGGTGAAAGTTCCCCTCCGACATGGAACACAGCATCCTGCAAAGACACCCACAGTGCACAGGGTCACTCGCATGGCTACGACAGCTGAATAGAAACCGGCACGCCGCAAGCCTTTATACTGCCGTTTCGGAAAAATACTAAGCCGAGCAAATGTTATCTGATGTTTTCAAGGCATCGTGCAGTAGATAATCAGTTCGGTTACACGTGTACAATGTGAATCACGTATGCCCAAAACAAGACAAAACTGTTTGGCCAAACCATGTCCACACCGGCAAAGTCCAAAATACAGTCGCAGCAAAAAAAAATAACATCTACAGAATGTAACACATAGGCCATTCGACCCATGGCAACAGAAAACCGTTCAACGAAACCATATCCATTCAAAGCGACCTTTTCACCCCCCATTTTGCTCTGACATGGAGTCCTGCCAAAAAAAGAAAGCAGAGAATGCCCGATATCAATAACACAGCTGAGAGCTGCCACCACAGCAAAAAGTGGCAAAAAGCGTACAGCAGAGGTGAGTGGCACGGTGAGTGGCTCAGTGAGTGGCACGCGGTGAGTGGTGAGATGGTGAGTGGCACGGCGAGTGACGATGTAAGTGAGCGGCGCGGTGAGTGTCTTGTCGAGCGAGTGGCTTGGCGTCGCGAGCGTCTGGCACGGCGAGCGAGCGTGTTGGCGGGTAGCGCGGTGAGCGAGCGAGTGAGCGAGCGGCTTGGCCGTGAGTGGCGGCACCTGAATGCACGGAGGGCGTTGGTGCTGCTCTCGAACTCGCGCGCCTTGCGGTGTCCTGCCCGCACAACCGCGTCGGGCAGCCCGGCCAGACGGGCGGCGTTGAAGCCGTAGCTCTTGGGGCACGCGCCGGCAACGAACTTGTAGAGGAAGGTGATGGTCTCTTGGCTGGGGTCGTCGTCATTCTCCTGCTCCACCATGCACGCCTGCAAGAACCCGGCGTATCCCCGGCGGGCCCCAACTTAGCACCTCGGAACTCGTACACAGATAAAATCCTCCGGTAGTTACGCGCAAAACGTAAAATGAGGTCGGAATTGTTTTGCTTGAGCACATGCACAGCCATCAAGTCATTCCACTGATGAGGACCTCTGCACACTCTGTGGGTCATGGAGATTAATAGGCCATATACTTCACTGACGCTGGTCGGTGTAGGTTGGTGAAAATTGGCAGCGTGGGCATTGGAGCGTAACAATGCAATTTTCTGTAATGCCCTCTGCTGACGACCATATGTCAGTATGAAATAAAAATTCACCATTTAGACACATGACAAAGATATGCACACACGTATAATAAGTCTGTTTCGCTCACAGTCGCTACCCTGAATTCATTCCAACATCAGGTACAAAACAAGAGGTGAGTGAATGGGGGAGGTGAAGTACTCATCTCAGTGCAAGTGTGCGGGAAAACGAGTGGAATGAGAGGTTGAGGGAGGTTCAACCGTATGGGAAAGTGTGGGGGAAGAGAAGGGAGAATGGAGAGTACATATTATCTGCTTACCTGTTGTGCTACTCATGTTCTCCATGACAACGCCAATAATTATGTTTTGTCATGCATTTTGTAACTTTGCGTCGAATATCGTAAAGAGACGGTCCCTCACAGATAACATCTGACGGTTCACCAGCATTGATTCAAGCAAGCCCGATTGGTGATCAGAAACTATGTCAAAAGTTGTCCAATGGCGTTTAGCAATCATCAGGCACGTAACAGCGTGAAACAACTTCATTATAAGACGTTAATGCTGTTGACAAGGGGAAACGTGCGGCGGCGTACCATGTGGCCCAGACGCACGTGGTAGGGGGGGTGCTTTTGTTTAGCAATCATCAGGCGTTTAGTGCGTGCAACAACCATGACGAAGCGGAGGGGGAAACGTGCGGCGGCGTACCATGTGGCCCAGGCGCACGTGTGGGCTGGCCGCGAAGTCCTCCACGAGCGAGTGGTAGTGTGTGGAGAAGAGCGTGCGGCAGCGCACGCCCTCGGCGAGCTCGTGCACCACGGCGCTCGCGATCGCCGTCCCGTCGTACGTCGCCGTGCCGCGGCCTCGGGGGCGCAACAAAAATCCCAACGAAAGACAAACGGCAACGTGGGCATCACGACTTCGGCTCCGCGCGCTGCGTCGGTTCCGCGTTGGTCGCGTTGTGCGGTGGTGGTGGGGGTGGGGGGGGGGGTACACACCAAGCTCGTCGAGCAGCACGAGGGAGTGGCGCGTCGCGTGCTGCAGGATGCTGGACGTCTCGCTCAGCTCCACGAAGAACGTGCTCTCCCCTGCGCGTCGCAACACGGCGCCTCCGATTAGCGCGCTTGGCTAAGTACGGTGCGAAACGAGTTCAACATGCGTACATAGAAACGTACGTACGACAACGCCCTTTAAACTTTCTTGTTTTTATCATTTGCCGTGTAAGTTGAGGAGCACAGTCATCGGCAAACAACACACCGCCATATTCAATTAATGGGGGCGGAACGGTGGCGCACACTATTGTACGTGTATCATATTCCCGCAGCCCATCACTTGTCAAGGAATCAATCAAATGAGTCACTATTTCGTTAGGGAAGTCAACGGAACAAATCGGCACAAATAAGTAAAAACCTTGCCAAATTGGTTAAGCTGGACAATCCACTAGTCTTGGACTCTAGGCCAGCACTCGAGAGGCCATCAACGGAGGTGGAAGCTTCTTGAGTCGAGGCCGGTGTCAGGACCAGTCAAGGTAGAGGGGGGCGCTGCCCTACGATGGCTGAAATTGGCTCCAGCGAGGATATCTAGCGTTGCACTGCAGAAGCCACCAAACACTTTGAAACAAAGCGACACATTATTTTACATACCACACACAAGAGTTCAATTTTGGGGGAAACAAAATAGCAATCGATCAATATCTTGAAGCATTGTCAACAAGCCGAGACCGAGGGACACCTAGGAACATAAGAGAATCGGCAACCCTCGCGCCGCGGTACTGACGCACACACGGGCCTCACCAGACATGATGCGGTCAGAGGCCCCCAGCCGCGTGAACACGCGGTCCACGGGCGTCAGGCGGCACGCCTCGGCCGGCACGTAGCAGCCCAGCTGTGCCATGATGACGATGAGCCCCGCCTGTGGAAGACCCACACTACGTTCTCACCATCGTTGGGGTCGGCCAGTCACATGCCACCCCCCTCATCGACGGAGCCGAGCGGTTAGACGAAATTGGTGGCAAAAAGGAAAGGTTTTTTTTTTGTCATGCAAGAGACACGGTAGAGAAGGAGAAGCGAAGCGCTTTAGGATTTTAGTTTCACAGATATACAAAGTTAAGGCAAAATTATTTTATACCACGCTTTCAGATGGACTCGGTGTTAATAAAGCATTGATACGTTAAAATAAACAACCTGATTTTTTATTTCATACTGAAAAGTACAATTTGTACGTTTTGAATCTTGACTTGAAGCTTTCGTGACTGCAGGAATTCATATTCTTTGGGTCTTTCGGTAAAGTCACGTAGATAGGTTTAGCTGCTGAGTTTGCCTCAGCAGCTGTCCCCCTCTTTTTTCTTCCTGATGACGAATGCTTGTGTTGAGATCGAAACATCGTAGTTTTTTTTTTTTTTTTATTTTCTTTTAACCTATCTACGTGACTTTACCAAAAGCCCCAAATAATTTGTACGTTTTGGTTAGCTGTAAAAATTTAAACATAATTTTCTATATATGAAAATGATAGACCAGCGTGGCGATGTTATCATCAAACCCCTACGAGTGTCACGGTGCAAGGAGGCCATCATCCAGCAGTGGACTCACAGTGGGCTCAAAAATCTAAACGGATGCATCCTTGCATACCCACTGTAAATGGTGTTGTCGTAAACGGCCACAATACATGAACACAATGGTTCTTTCGTTTTTTGTGTGTGGTTATACCGCATGTTGTTCGGGCACGTTGTTCGGGCACGTTGTTCGGCATGATAGGAGCTTCTTAGGGTACTGAAGCTGAAGCACGTGGAGCCACTTATCTGACGTGCCGAACAGCGCAAGGTAGAACCCGAAAACACATTGGGAAGACTGTGGCAGCACAACCACACAAAAAAACCTAACAACAAAACCTGTGCTCGTTCGTTCTCAGCAACATTGACATTTTTGTCTTTTGTTTTTGTTGCTTTAGTTGCTCACGCATCACGGACCTTCTTTATAAAACATCCACGAAACTGGCAAAACGTTATCGCCTGTGAAAACAAATAAACTCAGGCCCAATAAATAAGTAAATAACCGTTACGACGATTGCGAAAATGGTGGCGTTCGCCGGCTCCTCCCGGACCTGGCGCATGAGCGTCGACTTGCCGCCCATGTTGGGTCCCGTGACGAGCACGCAACGGGCGCCGCCGTCATCGTCTCCATCCGAAAGGCCCACCACCACGTCGTTGGGGATGAAGCTGTCGCCCAGGAAGGTGGTGGAGACGCAGGGGTGGCGGGAGCCACGCAGCTCCAGGAAGGGCCCCCCCCCCGACGAGCCGCCCTCCGAGGGGGGCGGCCGCACGCTCGGGCGGCACATGGGGTTAGCGCCCTCTCCGCCCTGCTCGCTGTAGTGAGCCAGGCTGAGAAGCACGTCTGTGTCGATACAAAACAAAGTGGGGTGTTGGGGGAGATATTGTAATTTCTTATCTGCCCATGCCGCCATTTTTTGAGTATTGTACTTCTTTAACCTATGTCATGCACACGTGAGGTTCACTGCTTCGAAATGGCCTGCAAATGATATTTGTTGTCACTGCAAGCACCTTGGCTTCACTCGTCAGGCACTGAATGTAAATACTTTTGACCTGGCATCAACATCATGTTTCTAGTGACCGAGCTGTTTGTGTGTGGGGAACGGTAGAATAGAAGTTAGAGCGCTGGGCCACGAACCCGACGACCCGTGTTCAATTCCCGCTCCCCGCCAACACCAGTGACGATTGTCTGAACTGGTCATGGGCCTCCTCTAAGTCGACTCAGCCTCAAATGAGTACCTGGTGCGTGTTAAGATCACCATTGGGGAGGCCACGTGTGGTGTTGAAGAACCACCCACTCGTGTACCGTGCCAGCCTTCATTGGTGCTTAATAACAGTACTTGCCCCAACAGTCTGTTAAGGCTATACGGGGGATGTTTGAAAGTCTAACTTGGTCCTCACGAAGGAAAATAATCCACTGCTTTATATGCACCTCAAAAAATCCACTAGATGCCAAGACACTTTATCAAGCATTACACTTAGGCGATGCTGCTGTGGTGTAACGGTGCTCACACTCGACTTGTATATGCGTGTCTGTATGTTGAATTTCTTTCGCTCCGTATGTAGCCAACCGTGCTAATCAGAGGTACAACTTGCAATCCAGAGGTCACCAGGTCGATTCCATCTTCTGGCACGGTAGCTGTAATCATGGTGAAAGTTACTTATATCCCTTAAACTCCCCCCCCCCCTCCCACCCCAGGTCCCTTGTCCACCCAGCAGTATAAATGGGTACACCAGAGGTAATTATAATCGATCAATATAGCCACCTCTTCCAAGACGTCTGACCAGCGTGGAACAGTAGACCAAAATACCCTCGAGAGTCTCTCTGGTTCTCTCCCCGTTCCACCAATAGTTGCCATGAGCAATTGCAGGACTGCACCTTGTCCACCGTTGACTCCACAGTAAACAGATGCAGCAAACTTGATACTTGCCCAGAATCGTTCGTACATACCCGGCGTCATTAGCGTCTGCCGTGAAAGTCACGAGTTTTATTACTGGAGGCTTTGACAAAAAAAAGCTCCATCTAGCAGACAAAACCCTGGAGTATGTAAAAACAACGAAGCGGTTACCCAGGACGGCCATGCAGTGCATGGCGGCGCTCCACTGCTTGTAGCTGGCGTCGAAGTTGTAGAAGAGGCGGCGCATGCAGTCGCGCATGGCTATGTCGCGCCGCTCCTCGGCGTCCGAGAGAAGCGCCATCAGCCGCTCGATCTCGGGCGAGTGGAATCGGCGGAAGCCCTTCTTGGTCGACTGTGGGGGGGAGGTGGCGGTGAGTTGATGGTATGTGGAGGGAGGCAAGGAGGCCAGAAGGAAGAGCAGCAGGAGCAAGAGATGACTTTGGGTTCTTGTCAGTGTCGCTGCACATTTCTGAATTGTGGAGATCTTTGTACAAATGTTGCATCTTAATGCGTTTTTCCCCATTGTTTCTCCTGCCTATAACCAAAACTTGCAATTGCATTAGACATACATCGTTTGTTTAGGACTATGGTCACCCTATATCTGTTTAAATGGAAAAAAGTTTCTGTTGCTTAGTTTTTCAATTTGTTCCATGTTCAATCTGAAGGCAGCCTGTCCAAGTAAATTCACGTGGCAGGGAATTAATGCGTGCAAGGTTTTCAATTCGTCATGTGATACGGTTGTTTTTGTTTTGACTTAATTGTTTTGTTTGTAATTTGGTGACCCAGGTCACTCTTGCGAATGAGACGATGCTGGCTCCCTTGAGTTCTCACCCAGATTCAACAAAATAAACTTTAAATCACCCGGAACAACACCTGGTCACATCAGATCTCGGAACGTAAATAGAATATAGCCTGGACAGTGCTGCTGCAGGGCTACATTATGGGCAGCAGAGGGAAGTATAGCAAACAATTTTTGGACTGTACTTCTATACTCCTGCGTCTATGCTCCCCACCTTCACAAATCCGCACTGATCAGCTGGGTGCAGTATGGTTAAATTGCCATACAAAAAGCATGGTATGGGGAGGTCTTCATCCAGCAGTAGAATGACAAATGGGCTGGTCACATTCACACAGCAGTACCATTATCAATGCACATTACAAATGAGCTACTCTTGCAGAAGAAAATCACTGAATGTCTACACTGGGTGTATTTGAATTTGAATAAAACTAATTCCGTACTGAACTCAAACTGAGCAGACAATTTTCAATTCCAGCACTACAGAACAGTCAGCAACTCAGCGAGAAAGGTTCTCGGCTCAATAAACGTCACAGGTTCCCCATGTGAGAGGGATGGTGAGAGCGGCGTTATCTCCTCCCCATCTTTAGCCTCCCGGAGTACCGAGTTCGGGCTTGAGCCCACGGAGTTTTTGTACCCCTTCCTCTTGTTGCAGTTTGAGCCTTGTTATCAGACTCTTGTTACGTCATCGGTGACCTGAGCCTGAGATCATCAGTTCACGATACGCGAGAACCTGGTTTCATCCCGGGGAGCTAAAACCCGGTTTTGGACCCAGGATGTCAGGAGAGCTCGGCTCAGTACTCTTGACAAATGTCCCTGCTGACGGGGTAAGAGAGACGACGTGCGAGCGTGAACACACCTTGAGCTGGTACTCCTCGGGAGTGTTCCTCTGCGCCACGGCGTCCGGCACCTCCATCTGGAAGCAGTTGCGACCCGTGCCCCAGTAGACGATGGACTTGCAGCTCAGACGCTTGCGCTGCTTCTCCAAGTATTCCTGCCGCAGGGAGGGAAGCAGCAGCAGCAACAGCAGTAAGGTCGCACTCATTACACCACACAGTGCTTGCCACAAATGAACCACAATACCTTGCTGATCTCGTTATGGAGCATAAACCATCTCGCGAACTCCGGTCATCCTCGCAGCGGCTTTTGGTTAGACATTGAACAAAGACGGTTGCCTTCATATACACTTCTGCGGCCGTCTGGAACGCTCTTCCGATATTAGGAAGCCACTGGAGCTATGCACTTTTAAATCGAGATTGAAAAATCTTTACTTCATAACCACTTTTTGTGTATAGTTTTTTGTCCTTCCCCCGCACCTCCAATTAGCACGGTTGAAAGTAGTTCAACATACACAGAGAACAGGGATGTCACAGGACACCCGCTGCAAGATTTGAGGAACTTAACGATTCAAAGTCACAATGCAGTTCACTACTTGGTGCGTCCTATTACCCTTATGGTTTATGCAGAATATAGAGAGAATCTAATCAGATTCTATATAGATGCTATATTTTAATTGAGAATTCGAGCATCGTTACGGGCCCATCTTAATTCTTCGATCAGCACGACGTGTAAAATATTGACCACACGAAGCTGAACCAATGTGGCTGAATGCTTTAACTGAATCTACACCACGGCATGCATGTAAACACACATTGACCCACAGATACACAAACACATATATACAAAACAAAGATCACCCATATAGCCTTAACAGACTGTTGGGGCAAGTGCTGTTAGTGAGCACCTACTAAGGCCGGCACGGCACACAAGGGGGTGGGTGACCAACACCACGCGCGGCCACCTTTGTCTCCCCTGTGGTGATGTTTACGGTTGGGATCGAACCCATGACATCCTCTATACCAAGCGAGGAATTTCACGCACACATACATACAGGCACACACTTACATCGAGCAATTTCTTGTTGGCGGAGATGTCCAGGAGCGCCTGGTCATACTCGGGGTCGAAGCCTGGACGTGGGGTGATGACGCCTGAGCTGCGCGCCTTCTGGTGGTCGAACGCCGTGTCCCAGCGCTGCAACTCGGGGGACAGGTCTGGGAAGTGCCCCCCATCTTCCGTAGACACCACCTTGCGCAGAAGCCGCGACTTGAAGTCGCCCGCGCACTCCTGAGCCGCAGGAAACGACAACAGTGAGTTATTACACACGGCCAGAAAGCAGCGCAGCGTACGTCTCCACACTTCCTTGGGTCTTTCCCACCAAAATGTATCCAAATTGTGCTGCCAATGTCACCTCCATTCAGATCTCTCCGAGGAGTATGCACGTACGTTGAACTTCTTTCGCATCGTACGCAGGCAACCGTGCTCATCGGAGGTGTGGGGGAATGACAACAAACTAAACACAAAAAGCAGTTCTAAAGGAGTGAGTTTTCAATTTTAATTTGTCTTGGTCTTTGGAGAGGCTGGGTGTGTGAGTGTAGGAGAGAGTGTAGTGGGAGAGTGTAAAAAAGTGGCGAAGTGGTTTATGCAGTAAGCTACGAAGGCTATATACGGGAGATCTTTGTCTCGTGGGGAGCGGTAGTTTGGAAATTAGTGCACTGTGCTACAAACCCAACGACCCGGGTTCAATTCCTGCACATGTCCAACACCAGCGACGATTATTTGAACCGGTCCTGGGCCTGCCATTGGTTGACTCAGCCTCAATTGAGTACCTGGTGCGATGTGTTAACATCGCCACTCGGGAGACAAAGGCGGCCGGGCGTAGTGTTGACCACCCACCCTCTCGCTAACAGCGCTTGCCCCAACAGTCTGTTTATGCTGCGTGTGTGAGTGTAGGAGAGAGTGTAGCGGGAGAGCGCAGAACAGTGGCGCACTGATTTATGCAGCAAGCTACGAAGGCTATATACGGGGGATCTTTGTCTTTGTGCGTGCCTGCAGCAGGCCAGCAGCCTGGCTGGCAGCGCGGAAACCCTCGAGCGTGGAGAGGAAGTCGGCGATCTTGCGCTTGCTGTACGCCGTTTCCTCGTAGAGGATGGCGCGGCTGTCCGGGTGGTCGCGGCTCGCGCGCAGCGGGGTGCCCAGTCCGTGAATCTTGCTCAGCAGCCGCTCCAGGTCGGGCATTTTGCGCAGAAGATCCTTCACCTGTTGCAAGACACCACCGCATACAAGGCACCACACCGATCCGTAGAATCTGACTTTAGCCACCACGGCAAGGAAGCTACCTGCATTGCTCTCGGATGTGTCGGGAGTTGTACCGTGCGTTGTTCGGTATGTAAGACGTTTCTCACTCCACGCACTGGGAGCTTCTGCAGGAACTGCATGGAGCGGCTCATGCTCTCGAGATTACATGAGAGTTTTCGGCCGAATGGAGGATGACCCGAGTTTCCGCGATGGTTTACGCTCCTTGACGAGATCAGAAAGGTATTGTCGTTCATTCGTGGCAGGCACTTTATAAAGTTTAGTACGCCTTTAGTGGCACAGACCCCCTAGCAACATCACGGTGACAGCGGCAACGTTACGATCCCTCGCGCTCACCTGCAACACCTTGTCGGGGACGGCCATGAGGTCCTCCAGCGCGTCGAGGCGGTCGTCGATGGCTCGTGGGTCGCACGGCGGCGCCACCAGCCAGGCGCGCAGCAGGCGGCGCCCGAACGGCGTGAGGCACGAGTCGAGGCGCACCAGCAACGTGCCCTCCACGCCGCCCGTCGTGCTGCTCTGCAGAACCTCCAGGTTGGTGAGAGTCACGCCGTCCAGCACCATGCGGCGAGTCGCGAGTCCCGTGCTGCCCACCTCCTCCTCCTCATCATCATCCTCGTTGGCGTCACGGTGGCCTGGGCGCGATGCACCGTCAGCGCGATGGTTAGCGGTGGAGAAGGCGTGCGTTGCGAGCACCAAAATGCTCTCGACCTTATCCAGACCGCCAGCGAAGTCATTTTGTCCTTTAGATTTCAAACATAATGAGTTGTGGACAACCAACAGGCAGCAGTGAAACATCATTGACCGTTGACCGGTTTCGTCCTCATCACGACTCAACGTACAGTACAGTAATCAATGTTCCCTGCTGCCACACGTCTCTTCACACCATTAAACAGATTTGCATGGCCGAGAATGCGCAGATGGTTTGTTTTAAGTTGGCAGGTAATGATGCAGCGACTCATTGATTACATTTGATTCCCATTTGATTCCTGATCTTAATCATCAGTTATGTAGGAATTATGCAAATTAAGTGAACATTATATTTTTCTGATGGATTTAGGGTGATCATGCGAACACACCCATACAGAAAAAAACATGAAACAATAGAGACGATACAATAACAAGACGCAAAATAAGCATTTAACTGTATTGTGGCTCCCAAATTATGATAAGTCACCGAATCGCTTGACAGTCAATCGTTACATGCCTCGTTTTAAGATAGGTGCTTACCGTGCAATGTGATCATGCAAAGGAATCATCGCTAGGAGTCGAGGCTCCTAACTTCTCATTTCTTTAAAACTGCTTTTTGTGTTTAGTTTGTCCTACCCCCACACCTCCGATTAGCACGGATGGCTACGTATGGTGCAAAACAATTTCAGCATACAAACACCTAAACATGTACCTATGTACATGTTGCACATGCTGTGTTTATCACGTGTCTATTGCAGCGATGCCTCAATTACCATTGGTGCATTATACTGCATAATATCCTTTACTGTGCTTCCCCCTCACCCCCGATTAGCATGGTTGGCTAACATACGGTGCGAAAGAAGTTCATCATACGTACAACTATAAACTATTTATTATTTTACCAGGTAAGGCCCACTGAGCTATACAGCTCTTTTTCACAGAAACAGACACACAAGAGAAGCTGGGAACTTGGTGGTAACCACCGTTGTGCGCATCGCCGGCGAGCGCAAGGTCGGGCGGCTGGTAGCGGCGGAAGTTGCCCATGGAGAGGAGCTCGTGGTCGATGAGGCACTTGCGAAGGTAGAAGAGCATGGCCCCCAGGGCGGACAGCGCCAGCTCCGCCTCGTCCGCCGCCGCCAGGCCCAGCGAGTCGCTGGCGGCCGTCATGGCGCGCAGCACGGGCGGCAGGGCACCGCTACTGCCCCCACCGCCGCCGCTGCCTCCGCGTTCGTCCTCGACCTTGAAGTAGCCCTCCTCCGCTAGCACCTGCTCGCCAGGTCCCATTGCCAGGCAAATTGAGACAAACGTCAAAATTGAAATTATTTTGAGCTCTTATAAGCATTGGAGATGGGCTACTCTTCTGTTTACATCCTTGAACCAGCGGTGCAAATTCCACGCATTGCTATGGCTAGGGCAAGTTCCTCCATAAAACAACCACTGACTTCTCCCATACAGTAGTCGTTATTTTATCGACCCCGGAGGGATGATGGGAGGGTTGTGAGTCAACCTCCAACCAGGATTAAAACTCACAACCTTCTGAATGTGAGCCACTCAACTCTACCGTGTTGACTCCTGCCAATTTTCTGTTGGCAAACTGGCACCATCAGTAAGGCAAAGGAAGAAATTAAACACCGAAGCGTTATGCGACTGCGATTTATTGCAGCCACAATACAAAGACTCCGGGTCCATATCTTGTGCAGTCAATTGCCCAACCCTCATCTGCAGGTGGCTACCATTTGCCAATGTCAGATGTGTTCAGGTCGTGCTTCTTTTGCAGGGGGAGACTTATAAGTTGGCTCGGCTTAGTTTTCCTGTTAAATGATTCAGAGCCCAAATTTGTTATATGGTGTGGCAATGATTTCAACCAGGTCTCAAACAAATTACAGAATTAATTATGAATGACTGAAAGTAACTAAGTCTATACATCTAATTATAGGCAACAGACAAATAGCAGTCAATGCAGGAAGAAAACGTTTAGAAATAACTCACCATTTCACACCCATGTCCATAAAACTAGTCTGTATTAATTAAGCTGTGGCAAGACACAAACCGTAAGAGTTCGAGCGGACCATCAAAAATAATCGGCTGCAATTCTGCATCTGACCCAACTGTAGATGTTTGAACATCTTAACGCCCTCTGTATTATTGCCAGAAAGGGTAAAAATATTCTTATTGTTTCATTATTTTGATACTGATAGAAAGGTTCCAAAGATACAATTATTCACTGCATTATTGTATCAAGTGCTTGCAGATGTTACATTTTTGCACCTACTGCTGTACATTGCGACTGTGGTTCTGCAGTGAGAATCAAAATCGTTATTTATCCTGGAGAAATCCGATGAGCTACGATGCTCTGTTTCACAGATGTCCAGTAGGAGTGGGTCACACAGTTACAACAAACCATACAAACAAATGATAGGAGTGCAAAGTATAGAAAAGGTAAACCAATCACTAAAAATAAATAAAGGTGCACCAATTCCCAAGCTAAGCTTGGGCAAGGCTGCAAGCAACAGCAAAAACAGTCTCAGACCACACCAAGACAACACGCTGTTCTTCAATAAATAAACATCCATATTATATTGGCTAAAGAAGCTAAGGTCACAAAACTCAACCAATCCCAGTGCCTCAAGAGGCCGAACTCAATACAACAACCAACAACAAAAACACCCCATTGTACTGCGTACAGCAAGTCTGAACTTATCTGTAACGGCATATACAGAAAATACTTTATCCCCCAGAGATGGGATCTGTAAAATAAAACATTGCACATGTTTGGGCAATCACTGCTAATCGGTCTGAGGCTATCAAACACAACGGAGAAAAAAGTGGTCAGCGCTGACACAGACGGTAGGTAACAACAATGCCTCAAACCCCGAGCCACCCAGCCACAATTTCAACCTCGATTGACGACGCGTGTTCTGAACATCCGATCAGCACGGTTAGTTACGTACGGTGAGAAACAAGTTCAACTTACGTACGAACAATCACACTCAAACCCACCTTGAGCGTCTTGGTGGCATCCCAGAACTGAGTGGAGGGCGTCAGAGCATCCTGCAGTGCCGAAGCCAGCGTCACACGGACAATCTTCTGCGTCTCGGCTGACAAGCCCCCGCGCTCGTACAAAACCTAGAACAGGAAGAGAATCAGTTATAACCACAACAACAAAAAACGCTGACACCCATTTAAAAAAAAACCTGTAAAACCCGATGCATTTAGGCTTCACATGAAGGCAGCAAAGCGTGGTATAATAGAGGTGGGTGGCCTTGACCTGCAGCCTGTCCTAGGCCCCTCTGAAGTTAGAGTGCAACCCCTACCTCCCGTGACGTTGTGTGCCCCCCGCTTTGTTATTCCTTGTATCTTGAACCCACTCTGGATTTTTTCCACACCCTACCACCAAATCACTCTCCACATATTTACACGAAAATAAAGCCCCCCCCCCCCCCCCCCGTAAAGCCTTAACAGACTGCTGGGGCAAGTGCTGTTAGCGAGCACCTATGAAGGCCGGCACGGCACACGATAGGGTGGTTGGCCAGTACCATGCCCAGCCGCATCAGGAACTCATTTCAGGATGAGTCGAGTTGAGGGAGGCCCAGGATCAGTTCAGATAATCGTCACTGATGGTGGTGGTGAGCGAGAATCGAACCCGAGTCATCGGATTCGTAGCGCAGTGCGCGACCCACTACACTTCCGCTCCCCATATTTACACACACAGATGCACACACTATATACAACGCAAAGCCAAACTCCACCCTGTATAGCCTTGGAGTGCGCAGCTATTACGACGGCAAGCACAATGCAAAATAGGGCGGTGTGTGTGGCCAGCACTCGACGGCCTTCGTCTTCCCAGCGCTATTGGCTGCACACCTCAGCGAGCACTCTTGTGCTGGGGAGGCCCAACACCAGTTTAAACTCGCGACTGATGGTGGGGAAGGTATGTGTTTTGCGGTGCATCTCGCGCTAAAGAAAGATATTTTTTCCCCCGACAGCTACCCGAATCAACACTTCGAGGAAACACGTTGAACAAAAAGTGTGACCGAGTCCACGGGAATGCACGATTTTTCTCCACGGTTGTTCACCTGCGCGGGTGCGTGATGCGCGACCAGCGTGCGGAAGCGCGAGCAGTGGCGGTCGTCCGTGAACTGGCCCAGGTGGAAGACCCCGACAGACGTGTCGACGAAACACACGCCGTACGTGCGCACGGACGCCCCCGTCTCGTTCGCGCCGCTATTGTTGCCACTGCCGCCGGGCGGGCCCTCCCTCTCGCGCACGGCCAGCAGGAATTTGTTCTGCGCGTCTGAGGGATCGCCGTCGAGGATGCTGTACGTCTGCGTGCCCTTGGTGATGATGCGGCAAACCTCGCGCTTCACCACCTGCGCGGAAAAAAGTTTGGCGACTGTCGGCCTATTTCATTGCGGTGCCCGCGATACCAAGCCACCCGCACAATTGAGCCGAGCAGAATTGTGCAAAGAGCAATGTTTTCGCGAATTGCGCCAGATACAAATAAACTCAACTAGTTTTATTTAACCAAGTAACGCCCACTGAGCTATGTCGCTTTTTTTCAGAAGCGACCTGGCTACAAATGATAGCTCAACGAAGTGGCTCCTGATGTGGAAATGTATTGCAGCCAAATACTCTTAATGCATGTTTACCAATCTGGATGGAAAAACTGAAGGACCCGGATAAAAATCTATGCGACCACAGGAAGAACGGGTGCCAGGGTCGGGATCGAATTTACGACCTCTTGTAAACCAGGCGATGTAGTTAACATCTCCTAGCCACCGTGATAATGATGAGAGAGACCCTCAAACTCTAAATACACAGCAGGTGTCGGGGTCAGGATCGAACCCACGACCTCCTCTATACCAGGCGATGTAGTTAACATCTCCTAGCCACCGTGATAATGATGAGAGAGACCCTCAAACTCTAAATACACAGCAGGTGTCGGGGTCGGGATCGAACCCACGACCTCCTGTATACCAGGTAATGTAGTTAACATCTCCTAGCCACCTAGCCACTGTGTCAGCGTTTTTCTGTTCTCTTTACGTTGTCTTTTTCCCCCCCCCAAATTTAATGCCGAGTGTTAGGAGACAATCGGCATCAAATTATGAAACAAAGACGTGTCCATCTTCTTTGGTTCTTTCGGTAAAGTCACGTAGAATGAGAATAAAATAATAAAATAAAATAAGACAATAAAATTCTCACGACGTTTTGGCCACTACACAAGTAGCCTTCTTCAGGTGAAGGAACAAAACTGTCGGGACGACAGAGCTTCATTGTCTTATTTTATTTTATTATTTTATTCTCATTCTACGTGACTTTACCGAAAGAACCAAAGATGAATCCTTGCAGTCACGAAAGCTTTAAATCGAAAGATGTGTCCATTTGGAACTTGGAGAGCCATGCAATGCCTCAGATTACCAAAAGGAGGTGAAGGCCATACCACAAAGCTAATAATAATTTTGGTTGTATATAGTGGTCATGCATGCAAATTGCACCGCACAACACTGTACAATACTAACAATATCCATAATCACATTAACATCTAATTCCTATTTATAACAATTATTAAGTAAATAAAACCCTCAGAAATAGAACTGCATTTTGCATCATGCTCTATTGGAATATTTTAATTCTCAGCACTGAAATTTTACCAATTAACTGACGAAATATGTCAAGGATTGATTTTTATTATTTTGAAGGCATTGGCCTGACACATCAGCTCACCACACATTAGACCCTGGTTCCAACCCTGACTTGAACCTGGGATCTCGGCAGTGCCGGTTCAGCGCTCTGACCCTCGATCCACCCGGCCACATCCAGTGTCAGTATCGTACAAGCCCAATGAAGAAAATAAGTTTGAAACTTAATTTGGTCAAGATCGTTAGGGTTTGCTCCCTAAACAGAAGCTGATTTTGGTTTTAAATGAGAAAAAAACCCTCCGTCCTGTACGTGAAATAAACCCGAACAACACTGATATACAATTAGCGGAGAAACTTTCTAAAACTACATTTATGTTCTTTTGAATTAAAATAAAACTGCCGGTGACGAACCTTGTCTAACTTTGTGGCCGGGCGAGCCATGGCGCGGCAGCGAGCCTCCATCATGTCGGGCGTCTCCGTCTGCTCCACTCGCGCCACCTTGTAGCCCTTCTGCACCAGCCCATCCGAGAAGCGCGCAAAGGAGGTCTCTGGGAAGCCCGAGTGGGCCCATGTGCCCTTCATGAAGAGCAGGCCCAGCTCCGACACGCCCGTCAGCGCGTCCATGTGGTACAGCTCGTAGAACTTGCCCACCTGCCGACGCACGACACCAACAAAGCCACAAACGATAGAAAGCTGCCCAACGCTCGTTCCGTAAACCGCGTCCAATTAAGACTAAAAAGTCAAAGCGATTTTCCGCGGTGCTAATCTCCCGCTTCTAGCCCTGAATCAGTGGTGAAAATTCCATATTTTTTCATGCTCGCAAGTCTAATCTATAGCACCACCACTGACTTTCCCACAAAGTTGTACTCATTTATTGACCCGCAACCGGGATTTGAACTGCCTCTTGTGAGCCGTCCGCTTCACTGCTGAGCCACCTGGCCGAAGGTAACACTTCCCCCCCTTTTAATAGGTGTGGACTCACGCCTGTAAACCAGCAATATTATATTATGGGAATTTTTTTATCCTGATATATATTTGTGCACTATTTTTAATTCTCCTGTAACACAGTTCTGCTCGAATTATTTTAATTGTCCTTGACGAATTTGACTTCAATTAAATTTAGTTATTGTGGTGACCTAGCTCACGCTTGCAAATGTGACCGACTACCCGAGTCTCTTGACTTCTCAGCCGGTGAAACAAACTCAACGAAGACGTTTGGAGGAAAGCATTGGTCGATCTCACGGATTTGTGAAACTCTCGATCCCGTTGCTGGCCAGGAGGAGGCAGTACAGTTCGTGGGTTCGTGTACTTGTCTCCATGGAGCGCTATTTGAACGTATTGGTAAGTACACCGGTGTAGAAGAGGTTTTCTTTTGGGTTAGGTAGCGTGAATATAAATGTGTCGTAAAACCTGCCACCACCCGAAACGGCAAATTAGTAAGGTTTGTCACGTAAACAGAACATGCCAATTCGTTACCAAGTACAGCACACCGGTGTGTTGGAGAGCAAATCCAAAACATTTATAGGCTGTCGCCTGATGATGCTGGTTGTAATTACCGGAAAAACGTCGTACTCAAATTGTAAATGTTGCTCTCCAACACACCTGTGTGCTGTACTAGTAACGAATTGGCATGTTCTGTTTACATGACAAACCTTGCTAATTGGCTGTCGGGTGGTGTCGGGTTTAACGATACATTAATATTTACGTGTTCTAACTCAAAATAAAAACTACCATTATAGATATTGGCCGCGAAAGCCTACGTGTTAAACTGGTACACCGGTGGTGCGCGGTTTCAAAATAAAAGCACATTTTTCACAATAATTATTTATTTTCCCACAATTCGCAACCCCAGTCAGAAAATCTTGCGGGGTGGTGGTGCGTCAAAATCAGTTCTCGTGATGTCGAAGCAGTCGGAAGACGAATGTCAGTTCAAATTTAGATTTTGGACTGTTTCAGGAGGACCGGTGTGTTATACCTGCACCGGTGTACCACCAATACTTCCATTTCCATACAAGCTGCGGTACTCTTCCACAAACAAAACACTCCACTATGAAACAGGATAAACATCGCAATGAAGAATCCTCTTGAATAGGTATTGAGATTCAAGTAAGGCTTTCTGATAAAACATGGCATTATTATCCTTACCTCTCTCACAACCCCAATGTCCTCTGCTGAGACTGGTAATCTTTAGGCAAATTTATTTCAACAAAAGAGAGGGATAAACGACATGTCTCGGACCGCATTCGTGAACACAAAGCAGACCTAAAACACGGTAGGACCAACACCTCGGCCATGCCAGATCACTGTTATAATTCAGTAGGCTCACGTGACATTGACTTCTCCAAGACAGAGGTTCTTTACAAGCCATCTGGCTACCATGAGAGATTCGTTCATGAGGCTATCCACATATACAAACACAGAGACAATTTCATCCGAGAAGATGGATTCTGGCTTAGCAATCTTTGGAAGGATTTGATAAACCATTTCAGGTCTGAATTGATTGTTCACGCTTACGGTGGCTTTCAGACCGCATCCAATATTTTCGTCTCCCCCCTCCTCTTTTTCGAACATAGATGGACTCGTCCATCTGAACAAACTGTCAAATCGCTCTACGTGGTGCTAACGTTAAAAATAACCGCCACTTTTTTCAAATTTTCTTGCTGTGGTTTTCACACCTGATGATGATTGCTTGTGTTGCAGTCGAAACGTCGTGAGAATTTTATTGTTTTATATTTTAATTATTTTATTGTTTCCCTTATACGTGACTTTACCGAAAGAACCAAAAATATGAATCCCTGCAGTCGCGAAAGCTTTAAATCAAAATGTAAAAAGGGATTAAGACATGCCACCTTGGAGATGGGCTGAGTGTCTCAGTAACCCAAACCTCCGACGACGAGTGGTGGAAATTGGCTTTGGAGACTTTGAGACATGACACTAACTCTGGCATGGACAACGGGGAGGGGGAGGTGGGTGGGGTCTGGGTGAGTAGGGTGGGCGGGTTTGAATTCACCTTGAAGAAGAGCACGGTGTCGAACAACGTGCTCTTGATCTCCCACCAGCGCCGCATGCCAGGCGTGCACGCGGACAGGAAGGAATCGGGGACGTAGATGGAGGAAGGGTCGTACTCGGGGTCCGACTGGAGCCGCCTCTTGCCGTCGCGACGCTTGCCGTCCCGCAACCAGTCCAGCTTCTCATGGTCCCACCCGCCACCCTCTGGGATGGATGTTGACACACAAATTCAGGTTATCCAAAAACAGATGCAGAGTCGGTGAAAAATCCTATTATATGCACCCCCTGCACGTATAAACCTCTGCCGTCACGGAAATTTAGATGTAACTTCGCAGACAAACGAGCATCATTCTCCGCGATGGCGAACACAAGCAGCGCAGAAACACAATGAAGATTCACCTTTTCCGCCATCCTGCCCCCCGCCATTCTGGCTCTCGAGGGTGTCCGACGAGAAGGCGGACAGCTTAGCCTTGGCATTGGAACCCGTCTGGGCTTGCTTGGGGGTCGCCGCCTTTCCGGACGACGCAACGCTGCTCAGACCCAGCATCAACGGCTGGCGACTGGGCGTTAGGGCGGGAGCCTTGGTTGTGGTGCGCTTGCGCTTCTTGACGGGCGACTCCGGGTCGGAGGCGGACTCGGGCTCGCTTGCTTCCTTCTCATCGACACCGCTGCTGGCCTCATCGCTGCTCGCCTACGGAGCACGCGGCACAACACGAATCAGAGCAGTTCGGGTTCACGGGTCTCTAGGTCCATGTGTACGATGAACTTCTTTCACAACGTACATAGCCAACGATGCTAATCGGAGGTGCGGGGGAAGGACAACAAAAGTCCGGCGATTGCACAATGTATGTGTAGGTATGTGTCTATGTTGAACTTCTTTTGCACTTCACAACGATCTACAAACAGGCACTTACATCGACCGTGTCCGGTTTGAACTCGGCGTCGCTGTCATCGGTGTCGGAGGGCACCACAATGCGGCGCCGCTTGTTCTTCCGACCGTTTTTCTCGAGTGCCGTTTTGCGCGTCGAGCGCAAAGGGGTGCGCGTCTCGCACGCGGTGCCATCACTTCCCCCGTCGTCCTCCTCCTTCTCTTCCTCCTCGCCGTCACCCTTTCCATTCGCTTCCACGTCCGACGCAATCGCATCCACCTGCACGCAGTGGTGTTTTAATAGCCAGAGGCGAAGCAGCTGCTTTTCTCGCAAGAGAAAACAGCTGAGGCTCCCGTTATTGATGTGCGTGTGTTTTTTTTTTTATCCCCCCCCACAATATTTCAGCAAAGGCTTATTTGTGGAAATTAGGAAATCGCAACCCTCGTCCGACTTCCCGCCATTGGTGCTGCTTACTGCGATTACCAATCTTTTATATTATTTTTGTAGTCACGCCGCATGCACCTTTTGGTTGGAAATTAAGGAAGAATGCACCGAGAGGGGAGGTAGCAAGGACTAAAGTTTGAGAAGATTTTGGTTAAGCATTCTTGAATTCTAATTCCCAACGCACATGCAAAGATATCTGCATTACAATGAACATCACTGAATAAGTGAAGCACTTGCTGTAAATAAATAAGTTCAACTGCTAAGCATGAAATAATGAATAGAGTCATGCCTCCATCTCTTCATCAGCTTCATCGCTGTCCTCTTCATCCGATGGCTCCACACACACGACGAGGTCTAGGCGCTTTTCCATGCTCAGCGGAATCGCCTTGTCGGCCTGCTTCATCGCCCCCAGGATCTGAGGATTGGTGCTGAAGAAGACGCCTCCCCTCTGCGCCTCCTTCGAGCTGGATCCTACGGAGATGCGTGCAGCTCTATTGAATCGCAATTCGATGCTGTACTATAATGTTGAGAACCACTGCCAGCGAACCAACATCGGCTGTCCAGTGGACATGGGAATGTAGAATTTTTACCACTGGCTTAGGGCTGTAAAGAGGTGATCACTGGCTCAAATATATATGAGCAGGAAATGACTTTCTTTATAATACAATTACATTACTGAATGCCAACAGTTTGGGTTTCTCCAGTTCCCAATGAAGCCACCGGCGCATACAACGAAGTGTCTGACATTCGTGCCAATCAACACGCACGCACTGCAGCCCCAAAAACACATCGGAGAGCTGTACAGCACGACCACGAAAAACCCACTTCGTGATCATAATTTTTCAAACAACTTTTGAATTAAGGCTGTCCCCACATCCCCGTCAGTCATGGGGGATAGGAGTCCTCGTTCAAGTAGTAAATTCATACACAAGGGATGCAACATGTACAAACGTGCAGCGTACCATTGTAGGGCTTGCAGTACTTTGCACCGACCCAGCTGCGGGTAGGAGGAGTATCAAAAAACTGCACGTGGATTCTCAGGGACTTTCCGCGGCCCCGTGTGTGCGCTCCGGACTCGGGGTGGTCATACACCAGGCTGGGCCACCACGGGTATCCCTCCAGCTTGGCCCACAGCAAGTCACCTGGTTGGAACTCACTGAAACGTTGCACCCACAGGAGAGAAAACACAAGTGGTCAGCATTTTAGTGTTGCTTCCAGCGATCTAGGATTAAACCGTTTTTTGGCCAAACCACTCAGAATTCGCCTGATGTCAGATAATGAAAGCTAAGAATGCTTGAGCAAGGAGAGTGCTTGGATGGGCAACCAACATGCATGCCAGATTGTCATTGATGGCTGCGGCGCTACGTGCTGCGCACTGCAGCAATATCAACAGCTGTACATTGTAGATCTATGTGCCCATGTCTCTGATCACCGACTTCACCAACTGGCACTGGCCAGCATGGTAGCCTACGCGTAAATAGCCCACCCATAACTCAGTGTGGGGGAGGCCCTCATCCAGCAGTCGGCTGACAAAAGTGGCGGTACACGCACGTGAACGCATTTACATTCTATAAATGCAATCACTTTAGGCAGGCTGTGTGGCGAGTTTCGTAGCGATTGGTTTAGCGATCTTAGAATTATCGTGAAAACATGCAGTGTCCTCAGGCATAAGCACTGAACAGCCTTTCAGCTCCATTAAATGTTACGATTATGCTCCGAATCTGCTTTCAAGTGTTTAGTTTAGTAACTTTGCACTGTCCTTTACACACGACTGTCTCCGGGTAAACGCACATTTAGAAGTAATTCTTAAGAGACCCCTGAGTAACCATTAATATTGTCGCCATCATCTATTTTTAAATTGTGCCTCGAAACCTGCGTGGCAGGTGCTGAAGCGCTAAAAATTGTTTTAATATTAACACCACACACACACGGGTGAAGATATTTCACTCAAGACGGTGGTACCAAAAGTTTGGCATTCAAAGGTAAGTCTGAACGAATCAGTTCTCATTAAAAAAATGTTAACTGCATCTGTTTAAGCAGAAACCAAGTGTTGCGGGGGTTGGCTCAGTGATTAGAAAACAAGGCTCGGCAAAGACCGATTAATCACGAGGGTTGATCGGTCAAATCGTCTGGGAAAAGGGGGTGAACTCAGCTGTACATCCCTCCAGGGTCAATACAATGAGGAGTGCTGCTACGAGGAAAGTCACCAGCGGTGGTCCTATATACAAATGCTACCCAGGGTCATAAAGAGGAGATGTGCGCCACCACATGTTTGTCTCAGTGGGGAAATACACTTTGACTTTTGGCTTTAGGTAACCATAGCCAAGGGCATGTGTGGCTTACCCTATGAGCAAATGTATGTATGTTAAACTTCTTTCGCACCGTACGTAGTCAACCATGCTAATTGGAGGTGCAGAGGAAGGTCAAAAAAACTAAACACAAAAAGCAGTTATAAAAAAATTAGTTTTAAATCCAGATTATTTAAAAGTGCATAACTTCCAGTGGCTTCCTAACGTCAGAAGAGCGTTCCAGACGGCTGCAGAATTGCATCTGAAAGCGAGTGATGCAGTGATCCGACCCGTCTTTGTTCGATGGCTAGCCAAAGCAAACAACACGTACGTGTTAGATCATCAATATCGCAAGCCAAGCAGGGTTTAGCCTTGGTTAATTATTGGATGGGCGACCATGGGGCTGCGAGGTGACCAGGAGAAGGCAATGTGGGTTTTTTCCGTGTTACTTTGGTTTCCTCCCACAAGCCAACCCTTAAAAACGGTGTTAGTCAAACATTTCCGATCCAAGGACCCTCCACAAAACAGTCGTGGGACTCAAAAATTCCTATGGAATTAAATTGCATTCATGGATACAAAAATCGTAAATTATTTAATGTGGATCGTTTAGAACATTAAAATTGAGGGTACAAACACAAGACACGGGCCACGTGCTGCCATGTAAGTGAATGACGGGGTTTCATAGCATCTGCTGAACAGCAGAGGGCATGCTTTGATTAAATAGTAACATTATTTGGGTCTTTCGGTAAAGTCACGTAGATAGGTTCAAAGAAAGTAACAAATAACAGCTGAGGTATCTGCAGGAACCAATCTGCTGTCAGGCTAACACCACCACTCCCTCCGCAGTGGGGCCACTGGGAGGAGGGGACAGTGGTGATTTGTTCACTATTCCTATACTTTGCACTCCTATCGTGTTTTTGTTATCGTTTGTTGTTGTAACCTTTTGACCAGCCCCTACTGGACGTTTGTATTTTTAAAAAAGAGCTTCATAGCTCATCAGATTCCACCAGTATACATACAGATGCTAATAATGTGTGCAGTTGATAAACGTCTCCATTGCTACCAGGTGGAGTGAGCAGGCAACCTGTAGGCGTGGTTTTGGAGTAGGAACAGAATGTATTAAAAAAAACTATCAACTATTTTTTATTTTACCAAGGCCCACCGAGCCATGTAGCTCGTTTTCAGAAACAACCTGGCCACAAATGACAGCTCAACGAAGTGGCGTGTGTGGACATGTATAGCAGCCAAATACTCTAAAAAACGCACGTTGATTCTAAATGTGAAAGGAAAAAAAAACGGAGGACCTGGAGAGGAATCCACGCGACCACGGGGAGAACATGCAGACTTCCAAATATACAGCAGGCGTCAAGGTCAGAATTCGAATCCACGACCTCCTCTGTATACCGGGCGAAGTAGTTAACATCTCGTGAACATGGCGCCCCAAATACACGACACCTCCACTTGTGTGGCCTTCCCGCTCTCCAATGTGCCATTATCGTGCGTGCAAACATTCACGCAGCCAATTACCTGGGGGGTGAGGGGGGGGGTAAACCTCAGGTTTGTTCGAATCAAGGTAATCGGTCTTTACCAGCACGTTTGGGCGACGCGTTCGATAACGAACACGGCCCCCTGTACACCCCGAAAACGTATGGGAGAGAAGTACAGCAACAACGGCGAAAACACACACACACGACTGGAATGCCAACAGATGCTGGTTTTTTTACATTTTCAAGTGTTACAGAAAACGGCAGAGGTGAATACAAACGTGCACGATCTTTCAAAAAGCATCAAGGGTATGCCGTTTATGTTTTGCCGAATAGATGCACTTAGAATGTAATGGAACGGTTTAAAAGTCGAAAAATGCAGCTGCATGCGAGGAATAAAGTTAACACTTTAAGAGCTGTAAGGAACAAAACCGATTTTTCGCATTGGACTTTGTTCAAACGTATTTCTTTAACTGTCGTTAGCCTTTGTACATTTGTATTTAGAAATAAAAACTAGCACCCGTATTCCGCGGCAATTCCTCCTGCAACATTTTCCATCATTCCTGAACCCCGTAGATCTTCTGACTCAAATTTGCATGCAACAAATGCCAACTAAGCGGTATTTCGTGCAATCGTTTACACGCAGGAGAGAGCCAATTAAGTGAAACTTGCCAGCCAGCATCTTTTAACAGCTCAAAACATTTTTGATAACGCTTCGGCAGTGTCCACTCAGCACCGTGGAGCTAATGCAATGATGGATCTTTAGCGGTCTGTATGTACAGCATGTTGAACTTCTTTCGCACCGTACGTAGCCAACCGTGCTACCTGGGAGGTTGCAGTCGCTACACAATGACAGATATCCGCAACAAAAAGTGTTTGCTACAGCAGCGACGAGTTTGTGCGAAAGACCCTTAAGTCTTTTTTTATTTAAAGCTTTCGTGACTGCAGTGATTCATATTCTTGGTTCTTTCGGTAAAGTCACGTTGAAGGGAAACAATAAAATAATAAAATATATCTTATTATTGGTTCTTTCGGTAAAGTCACGTTGAAGGGAAACAATAAAATAAATCTTATTAATATATCTTATTATTTTATTGTTTCCCTTCAACGTGACTTTACCGAAAGAACCAAGAATATATACCCTTAAAGTCGGTTGTTATGGTGGGACGACTTCGGTGCCTCTCTCCATCGCTATCCACAGGTGTCTCCTGCGTGTCTAAATGTTGTCTGTCCCCCTATCCGTGATTTTAACCTCATGGCAGTACCCCGGAGCAACATAGCTACCCCGGCTCTCGCACAACGTCCGTGATGCACACATTTTTAGTCTGTTGATGGTCGGCGATGCGGCAATCGGCTCATCTCGACGAGCTGTACTCAACGATGCACCACCACGGTGCGTACCGCGAGCGTTCAGCGTTTCGGCGCAATCGTCCTCGACGCGTTTCGACACCGCGGAGTGTAGCACTGATTTTGGATTGATTGGTACCCCCAGTCGCGGAGTTAAAGTAACACCCCTGGGAAAAAAAAATAGTGTCCCAGAAATAAAATATTTAATTGCCTCGGTACCCCGGGGTCCCGCCATAAGGATTATTTGGTGTCCGTGTATATCTGGCCGCCTGCAAATGTGTACGACTATCTCTAAAAATGTATCATTAGCGTCGCTGTGGAGAATACACGTGACAAAAAAAAAATCAGCACACAATAGGCTTATGAAGAAGACATTGCGTATTCGTATTTGTCCATCTGTCTCTCCATGTCTGTGTCTCTCGGTGCCTGTCCCCGTCTCTTGTATTTCTGTCTCCGTGTCCGTCTCTCCATGCAACTTTATTTAGATCCGTGTCTCTTCTTATATCTGTCCGGTATCCCCCCCCCAACCCCCGCGTCTGTCCCATCATATCGCTATCTCTTGTTATTGTTTTGTTTTATCTCTCTCCGCTATCTCTGGCCCTTCTTCCCCGTATCTGCAGTAAGACTGCTATATATTTAACAGACTAGTTGCTCTCGTTTAGCCGCGCGCAGAATGATCAGGACCGCAAGTGCACGGCCGCGCCTAAACTCGCCTCTCTTCCGACGACTTTGGCGCCTTCGCCGCCTCTCGGGCCTGGGCCACATCGGAGCCGCGCTCTCGCTTAGCGTTCGCCGCCCGCGGACCGCGCTCCTTCTCGGTAGGCGGAGACGAGGCCCCCGGGGGAGGCGGGTCGGCCTCGGTGGGCGAGCCAGCGCTCTTGGCCTTGGCGGTCAGGCCCGGCGATTTGTTGAAGTACTTGAAGAGCGTGTTCTTCTGTGACATGTTGAGGAGACCGCGCGGGCTGAAGCTTAACGAGAGTGGTGTTGTTTTTCCAACACTGCCAATGGCGTTGTCAGCGATGCTACTGCGGGCTGCTGCTGCTGCCACACGCGGTCAGCTGTGATTTTTCCCGCGAAATTATAAACGTGACGTCACGTACCGCTGGCCAATGAGGTGTTGGGAATTTCATTCCTTTGCAGAGAATGAATGAATGAAAGACACCGCACACGTGTGAATTCCTGCAGTCACGAAAGCTTTAAGTCAAGATTTACACCGCACACAATTGCAACGACAACGATGTTGCCCCGTCCTTTAGGATTTGTGGCGCAATAACAGTGCCGTGCATCCAGCAGGTGGTGGGGTTTGGTGGCTTAGATGGCTCATAAAAATTTCCTGAGTTCGAATCCAGGGTTCATTCCACCCACGGTTAAACCAGATTGCCAAGTGCAGTGAGTTGATGGTCTCAGGCCAATTATGCACAGACTGTGCCACGAATGGCCTACACACGCTCATCATGTGACGCACACGTGTAATCCACTGCTGGATGAGGGACCTCGCCTAAGCCGTCTTGGTCACGGGGGTTGATTGACCATAACTTTAGCACTCAGGCCAGTGCCGGCTATGTGAAGGTGTGGGGTGCATTGACGCTGCTTCTGCCCACTATCTGTAACCTACAACACCTGCAGTCGCCCATCCAAGCACTATCCAGGTGCAAAAAGTGCTTAGCTTCCGAGATCAGGCCCTGTTAATCGGGTCCTGTTCATAAAATCCTTATTGGAAAATCTGAGCAGAACTTAGCGAATTCATGAACCCCATTGTCAAATCCAAGAAACGGAAAGCGTCCATCCAATTGCCTTTTAACTATCCCAAGTGCAAGAATTGGAATAGGTGACAAGGTCTTTACCATGGCAGCACCAAACATGTTGGAACAACTTTGTTTCCTCACTTAACATCATACTACATCTTCCTTCAAAAATATTCTGAAGCATAAGATTAGTGCTGTATCCTAAGCACATTTGCAAATGTGACTTGTAAATGTAATCCTTAACAATTTATTGAGAGTTCAATTTTAACGTACATTTGTTTTTATTAAGGGACTGTGTGTTGTCTTGACGTGGTCTGGGACTGTTTTTGCTGTTGTTTTTACTGCCTTTCCGAAGCTTGGGAATTGATTATGCAATTTTTACTTCTATACTTTATTTATTTCAGGGGCGTCACGGTGATGTGATGTCATCTTTTTCGCCAAGTATGCACCCTGACACCTGTATATTTGAAGTTTGCATGTTCTCCCCGTGGTCACGTGGTGTTTCCCTCCACGTTTAGAATATGCATTGAGAATGTTTAGATTATGTTGGTGCTATAGATGTCCAAATGATGGGCCACTTTGTTGAGCTATCATTTGTGGCCAGATTGCTTCTGAAAAGTAAGTTAATACCTCTGTAGGATTTGCCTGGCAGGATGGGGATGGTTTAGTGTTTTGTTTTTGTTTGCGTTTGGATGATTTGTTTATCTTTCTTGTACTTTGCACTACTATCGTGTTGTTGTGTTTTGTTTGTTGTTGTGACGTTCTTACCCGCCCCTACTGGACATCTGTGAAAAAAACGCTTTATAGCTCATCGGATTCCTCCAGGATACATACATGTTCTGATTTCTGGTGGCTTTTATTGATTTGGCCCACTTTACTCCAGTGACCCAGGTGCTGCTGCGGGGTCCACTTTCTGCCCCGCTCCCCCCCTTCTCTCCCCGCCCCCCCTACTGCCGAGGCCTACTATATAACCTCGTGCCACGGCAGGTCTGTCGCCTACTTCAGCTGTTGTTTCTTGCTGTGGTTATCCCACCTGATGACGATTGCTTGTGTTGCGATCGAAACGACGTGATCTATTATTTTTCTACCGACGTGACTTTACCGAAAGAACCAAAGAGTATAACTCTAAAGGTGTGCCACCACGGTGAACACGAAACCTCTATAAGAAACTGCAGTATAGAATTACCGTTGTTCTTTTAGACCAGGTAGCGTGCACTGCCCTCAAAGAGTTCCACGTGCAAACATTTATTTGATGATTTGGCACTATTTTCATCAAAATAAATTTGAGCTTACATTAAAGATACAAGCATCGCATCATACGCATATGAATCGATCATTTTCCAATTAAGTTTTACATTTTAAAAACTCATAAAGCGATACATTACAATTACAGATTACATACCTTTTTCGATCGACGGTTGGATGCTTTCTCAAGCCATGTTGGAGATCTGGGATACACCGTTCCTGTATAACGCTTTCTGGGTATATATGACTTTTCCAAGGACATGGGGAGGTTTGTGGCGGGGTGAAAATTTGCAGGGATGTTGGATCCCAATGTGGGATTTTGATGATGTCAGTCACAGCAACAATCTTCAGAGCTCATGGAACAGCACTGGGTGTGTTGGGGACATTGACAGGGAGCCAGGGTTTGTTGGCAGTCAGGGATAGATATAATGGACAGGATTGTGGTGGCTTGAAGAGCACTAATGGAATGAATAATGTCCACAAGTTTTTTGTTCAGTAAAAAGATGAACCACACAATTGAAATTATCCTAAGTGGTTGAAATGACATGCTGCAATATTGACAAAAGGGAACATTTATGCTCGGGTGCAATGCTTGCCTCTCGCATGTGTGCCACTGGGATGATGCCCTTTATAAGAATGTTGCTTTGTGCTTGCTTGATATGCTGCCTGCAATTTAATGTCACATAACAGCGACTATAAACATTGCACAGTGTCAGTAGTTCAGAGTGCTCGAGCACCGATGTGAGACAATCCCTTAAGTAGTAGGAGATATATTAGTGCCTTGCAGATGGTTAATAAGCCCCAATCTTGGAAATCACGAAGGTTCATATCCCTTTAAAGAGCAGGTATTGAATGGCATGCCTTTGTACCGGCCTCATTATATGGGCGTGCGTGGCACTGCGCATAACCTGCTACACCAAATGTCATGTGCCACGTGTCTGGACCTTAGCTTTTCATAAACAGAGGCAGTTGGATGTTGCCTAAAAGCATTACCAGCAGTGCTCGTTTAAAACCAAGCAAAAGCACCACTTATACTGCAATGCCTCATTAGGAAAACAAGCGATGCACCAGCAGCTGCTACAATGTGCCAGGCTGTCTCCAACTTCACGTCGCTCACTGCTGCGGATCACTTTAAAAAAAAAATAGGGACCACAAGAGGGAGGGAGGGAGGATATGGTCAAGATGGCTGAGGGCTTCGTTTGCGATGCTGTGCATGGCAGGGCTGGATTAAAACAGGCGCTTTAGGGGCAGCAGCCCGGGGGAGGTCGTGGGATTTTGAAGGGGATCCCAAACGTATATGCTATACTGCTTTATAATGGTTGAAACACAACACTGTATCACTGATAAATCTGTTTCGGTAATTTTGGTTATTATCATCACAGAATCACGATGTGCATTGCTACCATCAAACCTAATCCAGCCCCCTGTGGGCGCCACGGTGGCGAGATGTTAACTTCCTCGCCTGATATACAGGAGGTCGTGGGTTCGTTCCCGACCCTGACGCCTGTACATTTGGAGTTTGCATGTTCTCTCCGTGGTTGCGTGGATATTTCTCCGGGTTATACGGGTTTTCTCTCCACATTTAGAATCAACATGCGTTTATAGTATTTTCCGGCGATACATTTCCACATGATGAGCCACTTCGTTGAGCTATCATTCGTGGCTTCTGAAAAATAGCTATAGAGACCAGCGGACCTAATCTGGTAAAATGAAATATTTGTTAAGTCTTAATAGTGTTTCACGCGTGGAGCCCAGCACCTGGGAATGTGAATGCCACTCCTTGAAAATGACTTGCCAAGCGCTCCCCCCCCCCCTCAATCGACCGCCATGTTCCTGGAATTGTCTCCCAGCCGAGGTGTCGAGACAATTTAGAGGAGACATTGCGAATGCTGAAGGGCACGTCGATCATAAAGTTTGACTCCGTGTCCCGTCTTTTTCACGAGCCTCTGCAGGGACGTACATGGCGTTCATTGGGCCGAGCCGTGCTCTTTCAGTAGTGGTTAGAGGATGTCTTTTAGCAGGAGGAGTCCCAGAACGATTCCCCATGAGGTCCACGGTGGAATGGGCTTAATAGACCCAAATGACCTTTCCAGCCCGTATCACTGCAACTGCCAAGATGCACCCGCCCTTGCCGAGTGCGAAGTCACGTTTTCAAGATGTGCACGTTAACAACAATGGGTGTATTTAATTGCATCCAACAGAGCGTGTGAGCTGTTTGGAGTAACACGTGGTGCGCACTCTCCGTTTAAACCAGGCATCTCACGATTGCTGGATTGTTCCATTGAGAATGAGAACCGAGTAAAAATTGCATTTTAACGTCGAGGATTGCGATAGATTGCAGGAGGTGGCAAGCGGCCTGCGGAAGCCTTAATTCAGCAACGGATTGGCCTTGGCTAATTATGATGAAAAATTACATGCTCTCACAGAGCTGTGCCGTTTTGTAACAGTCTTATTTTTAGTGGTGCAATGAACAGCAAAATAAACATCCATCAAACTTAAAGCGTGCTGTTTTTTCACCTGAATGTACATGTGTTTTACGACCATAAATACATACTTTAACTGTGCCAAAGATATCTTTATTTTTTATATATAAAATCGCAGTGCATAACAACTTAGTACTGTTGTAAGTTGTTATTACATGCCGATAATTAAATATAGCATTGCACAACAATCTAAATGCTTGTAATTCGCTGGCATTAATGAAAAAAAATGCATGGAGTAAAATTACCTTTTTCAACATTAACACCCCCAGATCCCAGCGTGAATCTATCAAGAGTAGCTTTTACAATATTTTCAATAATCTATTTCATTTTCTTTTTATTTCCAGGAAGCATCAAACCGTTGTTCAGCACAATCCCCAGCGGGCAATACGAGTAAATAGTGGAAGCGAAGGGTAATGAGAGAATCTGCACAAATTCCTCCGAGCAGTGGGATTATCTCACATGGCAAGTGCAGTCATTCATCAGCACTTCTCATGAGAACAGACAAAATAAATATCACAAAATATAAAGGACATCCAATTAATGGTTGCAAAGACCACTGATGGAACCACACATCTCTCCTGCTTCCACTCTGGCCTCTCAAATTAATATTTGTATTTTTCCATATATGAGCTGTCATC